CCATTTCTTTGCTCTCAAAAAAAACAAAAAAAAAAGTTACCCACTGAGACACATCAGGAATTAATTTATCCCTCATGAATTAATTTCCTCTGCTGTCAAAAAGACTTCCAGAGAGTTTCAAATGCAGATTAAATGAGTTGAATCCGAGCATAAGGTGGAGAAATGTCACATCTTTAGCTGCCAGAGTCGCTTCACTCATAGAGGTGTTCAGAATATTTAATTAAGTACAAATCCATAGGAGTCTTAATTGATGTCATGAAGCATTTATTCACTTTTTAATAAGTCATAACTTTAATTCATTAACATATCAGTTTAACTTTGTGAAATAATACAAATCTAAGGCAGGTATGATCTAAATCCTTATGGTCTAATTTCATGACTAAATGATTTGGAGGCTAATTCACCAAAGTCAGAGGCAGTTCTTTTGTGTCTGATACTTTAATCAACTTACTTCCTATATTTCAACACTGTTTGGTGCAATTTTATTCAATATAACTGTTGCTCTTGTAAAAAATAAAAATGATTCAAAATAAAGCTTTAGTAATGTATTGACCCAACTTTTTGTACATTTTATGTGCATGGTGCCATCTCACACAGATCATCTGAAAGGCTTTTGAAATAAATCTGTGCCATTATACAAACATATGACTTTGAGGACATGCATTCCAGTCTTATTCTGAGTGTTAGAGCAACAGGAGACTTTGAGGACACAAATGAACAGCACATACAGTTTGAAACAGACTCCATGAGGACGGCATGAGGGCCCGACCTCATGGAGATAAGGGTTGTGGTCACAGCCGTGCAGGTCGCCTGGCATTTCCTGAAGAACTCTGGAATTTGCAAATTTGCCATGGGCACATTGCTCTTCACAGATGAAAGCAGGTTCACACTGAGCACATGTGACAGTCTTGACAGAGTGTGGACACACCTTGGAGAGTGATCTGCTGCCTTTAACATGACCAGTTTGGCAGTGGGTTAATAATGGTGTGGGGTGGCATTTCTTTGGAGGGCAGCAGAGCCCTCCAATGCACGCCACAGGTAGCATGACTGCCATTAGGTACCGAGATGAGATCCTCAGACCCTTTGTGAGACAATAAGCTGATATGTTTGGCTCTGGGTTCTTTCTAATGCAGGACAATGCTAGACCTCATGTTGCTGGAGTGTGTCAGCAGTTCCTGCAAGATGAAGGCATTTAATGCTATGTAATGGCCCACCTGTTCCACAGACCTGAATCTGACTGAGCACATCTGGGGCATCATGTCTCGCTTCATCCACCGATGTCATGTTGCATAACAGACTGTCCAGGAGTTGGTGGATGCTTTAGTCCAGGTCTGGGAGGAGATCCATCAAGAGACCATCCGTCACCTCATCAGGAGCATGACCATGCATTGTAGGAACGTCATATGAGGCCACACACAACACAGCCTCAATTTTTTCCTGTTTTAAGGACATTACATCAAAGTTGGATCAGCCTGTAGTGTTTTTTTTTTCCACTTTAATTCTGCGACTCTAAATCCAGGCCTCTATTGGTTAATAAATTTGATTTCTATTGATTTGTGTGATTGTGTTATCAGTATATTTAACTTTGTACAGAACAAAGAATTCAATGAGAATATTTGATTCATTCAGATCTAGGATGTTATTCTAGTGTTCCCTTTACCTTTTTGAGCAGCATATATACTGATATTGGGAACATATCTTAATATGGACCAACCAGTGGATTAGTTTTTTAGTAAGTTTTCACAGCTGAAACTTAAATGAATAACAAAAGGAAGTCACAACCTATAGCTATGTCAATGATAAATGCACATAGTGGACAACTAGAGAGAAGTACAAGATAGAGAGGAAAAGTAACCTTTGTCCTCCAGCAGCCCAAGTCTATGGTAGCATAACTACACAGATGGTTCAGGATAATCTGAGCTCCTCTTACTATAAGCTTTCTCAAAGAGAAGAGTTTAAAGCCTCGTGTTGACAGTATACAGGGGTAAGCTTCAATAACTGAAATTGTGAGTTCTAAAATAGAGAAGCCTTTTGGAAACTCAAGGAACAACCTGTAAACGTTGCAGTCTGGGAGCAAAGTGCTCAGAAACAAAGAACAGTCAGATTTATTATTATATGATGCTTAAATTTTTAGAGCTTTGTGTGGGGGATGCTTAAATTTGGTTCAGATTTAACTTTGAGCCAATACCAATAGCTGAAATAGGAGAAATAGCTTGTTTCAGTTCCAAAGACTCTTGCACCTTATAGCTGCAGGAAAAATGTCACTGTAGCAGTGTCATTTGTTTTTTTCCAACTATAGAGGGTAAGGTATAAAACATTTTAAAGACTTGTTTTGCCGTTTCAGATAAGTGGTTCTCAAAACTTTCATATAATAATTAACACCTCTCTACATCGATGATGCACTGTAGTCATGTTATTATAAATATATGCATTTTTTAAAACTGGATGTTTGAAGCCGAACCAAACTGGAGGATGAAAAGTTTAGCTGTACTTGAATTGTCTTTAAATCTATTCATTCCAGCCTCTACTTTTATAAATTGACTACAATCTGTCACTCCTGTCAAAGCTACAGAGGCGAGATGTTTGTCAGTTTCCCCTCAGTCGCCTCCATATAGGTGAATGAGGCCCATTATGTTAGATATGATGATAGCCAGTAGTGACGGGCTTGCTTCCACCTGTGAGGTCTGCATGTTGATGTGACTCATGGTTTGGCCAGAGATGGGAACATTTGGCTTGTCTCAGTCTTAGTCATTTACAGATAAATTAAAGCTAATCAGATGCATCAGTCTGCATGAAAACAACCTTTACATGATTCCCAAGATTATTACTTGATATCATTAAAGTTTAAGTTGAGTTAAAACCCAAAACAGTATTTTGCAAAATTACAAACAGCACCTTGTTTCACATTTTTCCTTTATTTCAACAGGTTTTTGTATATAACTCAATGATTTACAATAGAAAATTAGACTTATTACTTCAAGTTCACATTTGGAAGATTAAAAGAGGAGAAAACAAGACTAAATATGATCAGTTCAATTTTTATTTAGGTCAGATATGTTAGTTTTGTGCAGCAGCTGCAACATGAAATAAAATGCAGTGAAACTGCAGGATAAAGAAATGAGCGGTTTTTGGTTAAAGAAAAAAAAATTATTTTATTGTTCAGTTTCTGTAAGAAAACACTTGCCTGGCTAAGATAAAACTGACCTTCCTCTTCAGAGCTTCTTCCAAACATTCAGATTTGTGGAAAGCAAACAAAGTAAGGGGGAATCTAAATTAAATGATCCTTTTGAGAAGTCTACACTTCGTATTTCATAAACATACCCGTCTGTACAGAATAATCCTCCTAAAGTGAGTTTTAGCATCACCCAACATTTATCTACGACTAGTTGAGATTAAAATAAGCTCAGTTTTCTGGATGTTTATAAATATATACAGAACTGCATTTAATGTGTTTCCATCTAAAGTTTTTCCTAAGATAGTTTATATCTGATATAAGCTTAAAGAAAGAAATTAATTCTAAGATAATCACAATCTCAGGAAATGCATCATGTTAAACATCAACCAAGATTATATAAGCAGAGATGCACCAATCAGTTGGCCATACTTCTGATCCCCCACAGTAAATTAAAGCAAAACTAAGAACTCCTCAGAACACCGCATCATTATGCAGCATTTACAGTGATGCACTTTTCTTTGGAGTTAAAAAAAATATCTAATAAATGTTTGGCGAGATCCTGTGGTGCATAAATAAGAAAAATGTTGCATTTAATTGGCTTTGTTGGCTTTAAAAACGACAAACCTGCGGCATATTTTCTTTCCTCTCATATTTTATAGTCCTGAGAGAAAAAGAGAGGGGAAACGAGCGAGGAGGGGGGGACAATGAGAAATTGGTACCGGCCTAGAAAAGCCTGATCGGTGCATCTCTGGATAGTTTTCTGAAAGAAAAGTGCTGCATTTGGATGAAACAAGGAGACTGATGATTTAACACTAAACCAACATAAGCACGTCGGCAGAAGGGGATTGCACTATTCCTGGAATAAAACGAGATTTTATGTTAAAACAACTTCCCCAGTTGAGCCTTACACCCCCCCCACCCCTCATTGTCAACAGCAAGGTTTCCTGCTACATCTTCAAAGGAGGAAAAAATAACCTGTGGAGTCCAACATCAACAAAAAGCTTCAATAAATTAAAGCTACTTTGTGCAACAGAGTCTCAACACTATAATCAACACATGGAATACAGTGTGCCGATTGGGCAGAAGGAGATTCAGAGGATTAAGGTCACTTAATGTTGATTATAACACCAATGGTTACATTTAGGCCAGGATAAACAAACACCCCCATTATTATTATTATCATCCTACCACCTCTAACCTGCCTACTGTAGTTATATGCATTTGAGTACATATAATTAGCTTCATTTATCTTATGTGCAAATACAGACAGCAACTGGTGCAGAGATGAGGAAGAGGCCGCCCTTTCAGAGAAATATTTGCTTTCTGACAGAGATGGGTGATAGAAGAGGGGCTTACAGAAGTCTCTTGATCCCCATTTTATCATTTTATGCTTGGAAGAAAACCATTTTATATCAATGTTGTTAAACTGATGCATTTTTATAGCAATTCTATATATTAAAGAAATTATAAAGAAGCTCATATCTTAAGTATGATTTAGTTTGAGTGAAATCTGCAAACTGTTTTAAAGATAGACAAATATTGTGTGTAATTTTTAGACACATGGGAATAGTGGTTTGCTATATAAACGTAATTACGCTTGCAGAAAACTAAAAGGTCAGAGAGTTTGGTTTGGTGGTTTTAATACATCTAAAAATGTGATCGGTTCTATTGACTGTGACTCAGTGGTTCGGTCACACTACTTATCGTAACCTTTAAGTGTAAGAACAGTTTCTCTATTTGAAAGGAAGAGAATCTAAAATCTATTGCAAAAAATAAAAAATCCTTTTACGACCTACTAGAGTGCTACGCCTATATGTTTTTTAAAATTTTATTTTCATTGTTTTTTTTTTTTTTTTATGTAATCCAGGTTAGGATCAGTTCATTTTCAGAAATGCGTCACATTTAATCAGAAATCTGAAACAGTAGATAGACTTTGGATGATACAAACCAAACAGAGCGCCGGTCCACATGACTGCAACTATACAGCTGATAAATGGATAAATATTGTTGTAAAACTGTTTATGGTTTCTCCCTGCCGATACTACCTGGCAACAGCAGAGGTAGAAGCTGCTATCTGTTGGGTTTTCATCCAACCAAACTATCAGAAAGCAAAATAACATTTCCCTTTAAAGGCGACCTGCTATTTACCTCCAACTTTATACGATGAGTTTGAGTCCAGCTGGAGAGGAGCGCCCAGTAAAGTGTGATGCAAGATAAGTGACGTGGAAAAAACAAACAAATGGCATCTGCTGGCCTCCAATGTGCTGCCTGATGGTCCTCGGCTCGCTCGGCTCAGCTCCTTCCCCACCAAACATGATGGGTTCTGTCTGGCCCCGCCCAGTTCTCGTACATCAGAATTCTGTTGAATCAGAACTCTGCCCCATAAACGGCCGCCTCTTGTTCTTTACACAAGCCTTAAACAGCAGATACAGTTTCCACCATCTATAAAAAGCTCCTGTGCTTGGTTGCCCGTCAAGACAAGATTTAGGTTCATAAAAAAAAAAAAAAGAATCACTGCAATGACTGGTTTGCACGCCGCTCCGTTCCTCTTGGTTCACTGCGGCCGTTTTCCTTCTATATGAAGAACTTGACGTCGCTCTTGGGGCTGCTGCTGTTTTCCGCCACAGCAAAGCGGTTGGGAAGGTTCCTCATCTTCATGGTTCCGTCGGCGCCGCAGGAGAAGATGTGACTAGATGGTCCCACCTCGATCTGCATCACTCCCGTCCCGAGGTTCCTGAACAGCGACTGGCGGGCGTGTTCGTTTGGAAAAGTGTAGAGGAGGCCCTGCGTGGCTAGACTCCAGACCTGGGAGGAAAAACAAAAGTCATGTTTAGAAACACAATTCCAAGCAGCTTGATGCAACTGATCCTTGGAATAGAACCGTCCGCCTGCTGCTACGTCCCCCTCTCATCTGAAACTGAACCAAGCTACAGTACCAGCTCCTACTAGTTTACCCTTTGATGAACACGGCTGTTTTTAGGACAGCAGGATGACAGGATGCTCCTCACAGGAGTAGAAAAGTAGTCAAACCCATGATCTCTTTCCCCATTTTGCTACATTCAGTGATTTAATTGGAGAATTTAGGTCATTCAACACAAGTGAAACAAAGACAGTGAAGTGGAAATAAAAATAGGTAAAAAACCAACAAAAATGAAAAGCCAAAGAAATCAATCACATGTTAGCTGTCCTCCCTGTTAAACTAGACATTTTATCTTACCTTTTTTCTTTGTCCTTAAAAGACCCGATCAATAGAATGCATGACTAATAAATTAAAGCACCTCACCCTGCAGAGTTACCGCGAGCTTTCTTGGTCTTTGTGAAACTATTTGTTCACTAAAACAGGGAAATTATTTCATAAAACCTACAGCTTGTCTTTATTCTCTTTTTAATTAAGGGCAGATTTTCCCTTTTAGAGGATTTCCTAAACATATTTGTGCTCCATTTTATAATTATGCACTACTTTGTGTTTGTCAATCAGATAAAAGGCAAAGCACCTCCACATTCAGTTTCAGCTGCATTTCTTTCAAACGTTTCTAAGCAAATGACCAAAGTGGTTTCCCTTCAGTCTCAGCAGTTATCCAGTTGTGCTCATGCTCTTTTTGAAGCTCAGTTTCCCTAATGTGATTCAAGTGGCATTAAAGTACTCCTATAGAGGAAAATCTTCGGCAGCGTGAAAAAAAAAAAAAAACAGGACAGAAGCCTCAGAAAACAAATTTTCAAAGAAGAGACTGCAAGTGAAGGAGCACGAGGGTAGCAGCAATCTATGGGCTTCAGAAGAGCATGAGCCCTCAGAGGAGACCAGTCTTCAAAGTCCTTTAAAGGTTTAGAAGGACAGTTCTGCTTTGATGCCTTTCTGTAGCTCTTTGCATCAATGCAGAACCGTATGGACTGAGACAGTCCAGGCTAAAGCATGTAGAGAGCTATAAAGAAGCTGTTTGGAGAACAAAACGGAGAATTGAAGTAAAGCTACGGATCAATAAAGGAGAAACTGACCTCACAGACATTATACCTGCAGAAACTAACCTGATGGACACTCTAACATTTGCTATACAGAGGCGTCTGAGATCTGCTGGCATGCATGAAGTTTTTACAGTTAACCAAGACTTGAAATGGGCTGCAGTCATTAGTATTCAACCCACTTTCCTCTGATATCTGTTAATAAAATCCAGCTCAACCAATTTCCCTCAGAAGTGAACTAATTAGCAAACTGCGACCACATGGGAGTAATGTGATTTCAGCAGCTCTTTGAAGGCCTCAGAGGTTTGTTAAAGAACATCAGGGGAATATTACACAGATACTGCCTTTTAACCCACAGGAAAAAAAAAAACATCTGCTACCTTCAAATATATATAATAAAACAAAGTTCAATAATTTAAGTTAGAATGAGGATAAGTTAAAGCTTTAAACAAGCGGTTAGATCGACCTACACGTATTTAGCCAAGGAGAGTATTACAAGGAGAAGCAGCCAAACATTCACAGCTCAGTGGGACAAGCCGTTATTAGCTTTGCACTCTGCAAAACTCTGTAGTCTATGGAAGAAAACTTTCCTGTAAAATAAAATGTACATTTTGGCACAAGCATTGCAGGAGGCAGTGTTTTGATTAGATAAGAACAAAACTTAACTTTGGATCACTCGTTGTGAAACATGGAAGTGGCAGCATCATGATTTAGAACAGAGAAGCTGGCCAGGGCAAGATGGAGATGGAATAAGGTATAAGAAAACCTGCAAAAGACTGGGAAGTTGACCTTAAAAGAGAACTGCAATAGGAACAGTTTATATTAAGCCACATTTAAACAAGAACGGTCTATTCCAAGTGATTTGTTTTGTGGGGGAACTGTATTCAGGCTGCAACTAACGATTATTTTGCAAATCAATTAATCTGCAGATTATTTTTTCAATTAATCGATTACTAATCAGATAGTTCCTAAAAGAAGACTTTTTGCAAAATTAAACGAGGTGAAACTAAAACTTTTCCACTTCAGGAGTTCAGGATAGAGCATATTGGCAGAAGAAAAAGTTTTTCATCTGAAGTTCAAAATGCTTACCGTATTTTCACGACTATAAGGCGCACTTAAACGTCTTTTTTTCCCCTCAAAATGTGCGGTGCGCCCTATGGTGCGGTGCGCCCTATGTGTGTTGTAACTGCGACTTTTGAGACCACCTCATTGAGGAGATGATGAAAGAGTGGCTGAATGTAAGGAGACCAGGTGTTTTTTTTCCACACATCACCATCGCTGTTAATATGTAACTCCATGCGTGCCCATCTCACAGCTGATGTGAAAAACATGGGGAAACAAATTAACGCTGTGCTCGCTGTTCAACCGCTCGACATCGGTGTGAACCGGACCCAGCAGGTGCAGCAGAAGCAGCGAGTTTACATGCAAAGTCAATGGTTGAAGCGCGTATAGGTGCAGCAAAAGGTCCCGCAGCGCGTTTTGAGCAGCAGGTGCAGCGCGTCGGGAGCGTTTAAGCATCTGACGCACCGCCAACGCGCTGCTGCTGCTCGAGATGGAAAAATCGAAGTTTTGCTGCTGGAAGCGCCGCATCAACCAATCAGAGAAGCTGATCTCGGAGCTGACAGCGAGACAGACACAGCGCTCTGATGACATATGATATTAACGCAAATGGAAAAGGCTGGATGGATGAGAAGATGATGAAAGGCAGGTGTATGTGAGGAGACCAGGTGCTTTTTTCCACGCATCACCATCGCTGCGTGCCCATCTCACAGCCGATGTGAAAAAAAGGTGAATCAAATGAACGCTGTGCTCGCCGTTATCCCGGGGGTCTGACAAAGGAACTTCAACCGCTCGACATCGGTGTGAAGCGGCCGTTCAAAGTAAGGCTGCGAGCGGCGTGGGAGCGATGGATGACAGACTGAGACCACAGTTTCAGGATAAGTGGAAGGCAGCGCCGGGCAAGTTACGCCACCGTTTGCGGATGGATTGTAGATGCTTGGAATAACGTGTCTGCTGGCTCTGTTGTTCAAGCTTTCGCAAAAGCCGGCATTATTTCTGAGGAGCCGCGCTGCACGGAAAGTGACTCTGACAGCGAAGAAGGGGAAATTGGCATGTCTGATTTAGCGCAGCTGTTTAATTCAGAAACAGAGGATGATGACTTTGATGGGTTTGATTAATACTCTGTAATAAATACTTGAATAAAGCACAATCATACTCAGGTTTGCTCCCGCTCTATTTTTCTACCTGAAAACTTAATTCAACAGCAGGCTCTGGGCGCGTCTCCTCCTCTTCACCGCGGTGGCTGGCAGGTGTTTTTTCATCTAAATAATCTAAATCTTGCAGCTATATTTGCTGTGATCAGGGGGAATAAAGTAGTTTTAATATGTTTTTAAGTGAGAAAGGCCACCTGAAAACTTAATTGCAGTCAGTTCATCCAGATTATCTATTTCTGTCGGAGGCGCTCAGACCCCCACATACCAGCGGTGCACCGACAGCAGAAATCCCTTCAACAGCAGCCTCACCGCGGCGGCTGGCAGGTGTTTTTCATCTAAATAATTTAAACTGCAGGCACCAGGATACCGGTAATAAAAGCGAACATATTCCGTCGGCAGGTTTCAGGATTTTAAGTTAATTTAGGAGTAATCACAGCGCTGTGTCATCTGCGATGTGTCTGTCTCATGGCCAGCTCGCAGGTTTGATTAATACTTTGTAATAAATACATGAATAAAGCACAGTCATACTCAGTTTTGGGCCCGCTGTATTTTTAAATACGCAGTAGAGGTATTTAAAGGTAGTAGAGGACATGTACCTGTATATAAAAAACGCGCCCTATAGTCCGGTGCGCCTTATGTGTGTGTTAAATACAGAAATGGGACACATAACGGAGAGTGCACCTTTTAGTACGGTGCGCCTTATGGTCGTGAAAATATGGTACATATAAATACCTTTTTAAAATCATGGTATAATTACTGTTCTAAGTGGGTCGCTCTGTCAGCTAAAGAAATGTTTTAGAGTCTATATGGTCCAGTTAATGATTAATCGATTAATAAATTAGTTGACAAATATTTCAATAACAGATTACTCGGATTAATTGTTTCAGCCCTAAATTGCATGCTGCTGGTTCTGATTTTTAGAGAAACGAAGACATTAAAGAAAAACCTCCCAAATTATAAGTTTGGTTCTGTCACAGATTGGCCAAAATGGAAAAGACATCAAGACCAAAATCACTCAAAGGAACTAAAGTTACTTTGTGCAAACAGCGGGAGCACTTTATTATTTGATAAAGTATTTTATACACCAGTCTAAAAATATGTGAGCTTATCTCCCAGTTCCTAGTCTGTCATCAAACTCATGAAAAGCTTCTGCATGCGCAGATTAATCGGGAACTTTTCAGATAGCTAGTATACAATTAATGACTTCACATCAGGAAAACGACAAAGAGCTCTGAAGCTTTTTCCCAGCAATAATGCAAAGTAAAACGGGTTTGAATTGTTAATTGTGTTTGATAGATTGGACACCAGGACAACACAATGCGCTCATCCTTTAACAGCTGTGTGATCAGCACCAATGCAGTCAAATCAGAAGATTAAAGACCTCATCTCTCGTTCTCTCTGGAACTATTTAAAAAAAACTAAACAAGGGCCTTATTTCTAGTGGCACCCACTTTCACCTTCGACATAAGTCTCCATCAGTCACTGCTGTCTTGAGCAGATGGTTAATCATCATATGACATTGATTTCCATTGACTTTGATGGGGCTCGCCGCCCCTGTGGACAAACACCAGTCATCTGACTGACGATCTGGAGGAGGGCCAGACATTTCCCCACCTGGGTGCCAGACGCCCTACAGGGATGTTCTTTCTTCGAAGTTTACTTTATGCAGAGGAATCCATGGCTGAATCTTCTTACATTACCATTTGGCTAATAGGATAGATTTTTTTTAAACTCTTTTTCCTTACAAGTACCAAGAAATCATATTCATATAGTCAGGCATGTCTTAACAAATCTTCATCAGCTCATGGAAATACCTTAATGTTTCCCTCAGCTGATCCGCTGATGAAACAGTCCTCGGTGGGATCCACAGCCAGAGCCTTAACCGGCGAGTCGTGAGCCTGGAAACTCTGCCGCTGGTGTCTGTGTGGGAGCTCCAAGATGGTGATCCAACCTTTTCTTCCGCCGGTGAGGAGAAGCTGCCGCCGCTGCGCCATTGAGAGCACGGTGGCGCCAGACTCATGGCAGCAGAAAGCTGGGGGAAAAAAACCAAAAAAAAAAACAACATGAGTGCTAAAACTCATAATTTCATTGTTCGGTCACTAATAATCAGAATCCCACAGTATTTTTGGTTTAGTTTTTCCCACACACTGTTGATGAGGGGAAAAAAATCCAAACAATTGATCTAGTTTAAAAGCAGATGGGAAAAAGAGAAACAGAATAATCTTTAGCCAACCTTAATAATAACTTACTGTGTATGAGGCTGTTAGCAGGAGTCACCAGCGTGTCCCACAGACAAACATTCCTGTGAAGTAAAAGCATTTCCAAAAAATGAGCCACTTCTCATCATACATTATAAAAGACATTTATTCAAAGGTTGTCTTTGCTTGTGTGTCCTCCTGACACCTAAAGCTTGACAGACGGCAGCCTGACACATTATTTAATCCTATGGAGTAAGACAGGGTGATCTGCAGCTGGAGCACCCTTAATTGCTCAGGAGAGGACCTCCATGCAGTGCAGGACAATGTAAACCCGAATCTTGGGACATCCTCCCAGAAGTGTATTTTTGAGGTTAGACACTGGAGTTGGACACACAGGCCTGGGTGGTAGACTCAGCTCTAATTCATGCCAAAGCTGTTCCGTCACATTCATGTATAGACTCTGTGTGTCTGTTAAATTCTTCCACACTTCTTTGATTTCTAAATCTTTTTATAGCAGAAGCTTTTATTGATGTCCTACAAAAGCCAGTTTCTGCCAGTTTCACACCCTGCACAAAACTGTACGACTTGGGGAAAAAAGCAGTCAGGGCGGTTCTAGGAGAACACTGGATTTCCAGACAGAGAATGTTTCTCTTGCTCTAGATTCCAGTGGTGATCGATTGATTAATTGATCTCAGTGGAGAAATTTACTTGCTCAATAGTCAAAAAGAAGGTGCCAAAAGGAGGAAAAGGTGCATGGGGGTATATACAGTGCGTACACAGTGCGTATATATATATATATATATATATATATATATATATATATATATATATATATATATATATATATATATATCACCTCCTCTTAGCAACTTCCTCCACTGAGTCCAGTGTGCAGCCTAGGACAGAAACTGCCTTTTTTTTTTTTTTACCAATTTGTCTCCTGACCTATCCTTGCACTTACCGATGTAAGGCTTTGATGCAGCTCCATAGCCATGGAAACCCTTTCTATGAGGCTCTTGACAGCATCATGAGCTAATCAGAAGACCGCGTGAAGATTGAGTTCTGCAACTACCGACTTTGTGCACCTTAGCTTCCAAAGAGCCCGTGTGACACGACCCAGCTTCCACTTCATTATAACACCACGGACAGCTGACTTGCATATCTAGCAGCAGAATCTATTTTGCATTAGAGGCCCTATCATGGTACCACTCCAGAATTCACTGAATCATCCATCCTTTCACAGATAATGGCAGAAGAAATCTGCATGTCTAGTTTCAGGAACCTATGGCCAAAACACACCAGATCCTGAAACTTTATATCGTAGCAATAAAAGCAGAAGTCTTCATGTAGGTCTTAAAAATTCCTTAAACTATCTTACTCATTTAAACCATGCATGGTGTCCGGAGTAGCACTTAAAAAATTATAAAGCTGCTTTTAAAGAATCATCACTTTTTGCTTCCAATCGGTTTTATTTCAAATAATTTAATCTCTTTAAAAAAACAAACAAGCAAAACAAACACAGCAAAAGCCCAGTGGAGATGAAGGGTTATGGGTGACTAAATGGGAACAGAGGTGCAGGGCTGTAGTAGCAATTTGCTTTTGTACCTGTTGTCAGTTGAAAGACCTGCAGTGGCGATGAGAGAAGAAGAGCCCACGAAAACAAAGTCATTAGCGGTCTTGTTGTGACACTGCAAAGTCTGGCAGAGAGAAGCACAGAAGGCAGTTGGTAAAAGAAACTTGGTAAAATATCCTTTTAATGTAATGACAGTAAAGGGAAATAAATATATAAATGAATTACCAGGTATGGTTTGGGTGTGTTCCCACTGGTGTTAGTTTGCCAGAGACTTAATGCTCCATCTGCATCTACAATACCAAACTACACACAACAAGCAGAGAGCAGATTGCTGTTACTGAAGAAGTATTTACCACTTTATTTATTTGAACGAACAAAAGCCCCCAAAAATCAGGCCTGCAGCTAAATACTGAGAGCTTTACGTCCCTTTGGAACAGACTAAAATGGTTTGCCATCACTTAAAAGTCAGTTCTTCATCAGGCAAAAGAATATCAAGGTGCTGTGGGGACCAGGATGGTTCTGTGACAGGATCAACCAAACATTAATAATAATAGTGAATTTCCCTGTCACTGGTCATAATGTTTATGGTTGATATGCTTACATAACTAAAATGAGTTGCTCTGCTTACATTCTCTCTGCATTAGCTTTATTCCAAAGCATATTGCTCTCTCTTGGCCAACACAGGCAGATAAGTGCTGGCACAGGAGAGGTACCATCTGAGGAAATTATTAGCCTGAGGCGAGAGTCTGAGTTCAAAACGTTGGCTTCGTTCAGCTCAGTAACAATATGTGCTGCGGACCAACTCCCCATGGTGGTGAGAGCTGGAGTGGAGATTATTCAGAGAGTATGAAAATATATCAGAAAACAACAAAATGGTGTTCGGTTTCAGGATAGCATACCAATCTATCACCTAAAGGTCGTAGGACATGTAGAGGTGAAAAATTGAAAGGTATAAACCAAGGAAATAGTTTCTGATTATAGTTTTTCTTTAAATAGAAAAGTTGAATTAAACAGAATGTGTAAAGGTCATTGCTGTTTTTTTTTAACAAAACAGAGAGGAATTTATGACAAAAATGTGCAGATATTTTTAACTCTAAGCCTTTCTACTTTACCTTAAGATCCAGGTAGCTCTAGTAGAATCAGCAGTCAGACCAGTAAGCTAACCCCAGAGGTTTGTTAACACAGGTGTTCTTTTAGTCTTTATGTGGCTTTGTAGTACAAAACATCTGTTGATGTTCACATATTGTGTTCAAAATCAACGCCTCGTATCCAAACTGCAATTCAGCTACAATAATCTGCTGCAGTGGTGACCCATTTCTTTGCCAGTGACTCATCCAAATGAACAAACAGCTACTTTACTGTAGTTACATAAATCCTACAAAGGACTGATTATACAGAGAAATTTGTATATCTATAATTTACCTCATGTCTGAGCCAAATTAACTACCAACTCTATTCTGTATTTTGAGCTCACTTTAGAAAACCTGAATTCTATTAGCAAGAAATAACAGGAGAAACCCTGACTGTAGCTTGACTTAAGAGTTTTAATGACTGCATTAAAGCCGGGCATACACTGCGATTTTTTGCCCTTTTCGAGGCGATTTACCAGTAGTGCGAGAATTTTTCAATCGGGCCGACTTTCAGCCTGATTCTGCGTCGTGTAGTGTACAGGGGGGTAACAAGGGGCGATCATCCTCTCACGACCACCTCCCTATCAGGAAGAGTTAGATTTTCTCCCGACTGTCGTGGGCAAATCGCTCAATGGGCATGCGCAAACAAGGATTCTTCTTTTTCTTCTTCCTCTCAGATGTAAACACAGCAGGTAAAAATGGAATTCTTTCATTAAAATTGACAAACCGTAGAAGCCACGTTTACTCAAATATGTTGTCGCCTTTTCTTTTTAGGGCTTTCAGCATAAAATTGCACAAATTGCTAAGGCAGCGCGTTTCTCTCTAGTGAGCTTCATATTCCTCTTCTACTAATTTGGATTCCGGATAGACGAGTCAGAGTAGCTCCATCATATCAGAGTCTGATGTGGTTTTTAGATGTACAGTGTGAGCAGGAAGATCGCAGTAGAGCGTTGGGCTGAACATCAATCGTGAGCTGTGAACTCAAACTGTACGACGTACAGTGTGAGCTGTAGCTGCGGGCAACGATTGAAAAAATTGCACAGTTTATGCCCGGCTTAATACAGATAAGTAAAAAAATAAAAATATAAAAAAACAAGACCTACTTAGTGGAGAAAAAAAAGGCTTGATTTTTGCCTCTCACAAACAGCTAATAAAAAAAGATTAAAATAGTAGAAATGGATTTGCTAACCGCAGCATATAGGGATATAAGGAATAAGGTTGGTTGATGCCAGAGGAAAAACTTCAGCCTTCTATACTGCTTGAATACAGTTTCAGGCTAAAGTGATTGTGAACCACAGTGGCAAATTATAGACTTGGCTCATCTGAAAGAGCTCTTAAATCTCTGCCGAAGGATGCCGGTTTGTCAGGTTCCCTGTGCTACTCAGACAACCTTTCTATTGACCTCCTGGCTTTGCAACTCAATAAATCTTCACCTCACAAACATAAATTAGAACTGTTCATTTTAGCATCCCTACACTCTGGGTAAAATATATATATATATATATATATATATATATATATATATATATAAATATAAATAAGAGTTCAGTTTCCTGTTTACTACATTGTGACTCTGAAACTTTGCATTAACAGCTAATGAATCGTTTCTTTGTGTTTGTTTTTTAAAACAAAATTTTGCCTTTCCTAAAGCAAAGACTTTCACAACAAAGCCTATGTTCCCCATGTTTAGTAGAAGAGACTGACACTTTACCACTTAACATGTAGTTTTAGTGCTCCGTCTCTCTCTAGCTTGTATGTGAAGCACTGACCTTGTTTCCTTGGTGGTTGAATCGGATCCTGGTGACCCTGGAGTGACCCGGACCTCTGAAGCAGATGATCTGCTGGGAGTGACCCCACTCAAACATCCTGACGCTACCGTCTTGAGCCCCAGTCAGGTCTGACAGAACAGGATGAGGACAAGCAGAAATTAAGATATATCTTTTATGTAGAGCGTGTATGGTTCTGGGATCTCAGCTTAATCAATGTTTTCCTGACGTCCCACCTAGATACCTCCCAGGTTGCATTTGTAAAAAATTACAAGAATGTAGCTAAAGAGCAGAGAGAGTCTTTATTTAAACAGCAGCAACAGGAACCAGAGGGGAGAAAAAAAATCTTTTCAGATGCAGAACAAGTCTCTAGAGACATTTTTAGGTGATGCAACCCTCCATGGAGGCTTTTCACAGAAGACTATGACGAATATGTTGTACCTTTAATATACAAGCAATGACTCCTCCAATGTACTGACAGACGTCAGAGCTCTACTTACAGTATGGTAGTGTGGGATGAGAGGTCATTCTTCTCACATTGTTGATATTTCTCTTTATCATCTGGGATAAGAAGAGAGAAGAGGGGGTGGACACAAATTTCGCTGAGAAACTATTTAAAACATATTTTTTAATGCAGGAAAAGATATAAAAAGTCAGAATAACGGCATAGCTAACAGGGCTGGCTTGGTGCATAGGGAGGAACCTCAGAGAAAAATTAAGACAGCAAACTTTTTGGACTTTACAAAATCCTCTGCAATGCTTGAAAGGTTGATGATATGCTAGAAACAAACTATAGCAGAGAAAAACTTTTAGAAACTAAAAAGTTTCACAATAAATATTTTTTTAATGCAGTGGTCCAAGTTTGGTTTATATAGATTTCTTTTCTACAAACTGAGAAAAAGGAACAACAGCGAGGAGGTTCTTTATTGGTCTAAAAAGTTGTTCAAACTACCCCAAACTAAAATACTCCAAGCTAAAATACAGGATGGCTTCAGTTTGAATACATTAACACATGAGTAGGGCGTACTGGTGTTATGATGTCCAGGGAATGGGCCTTCCAACTTCCAGCGCCTAATACATCAGTAAGCGAGCCACATTTTGCGGTGACGTTAAACATGCCGTTTCTGACAGAAAACTGACAAATGCAGAAACATTGAGGACTGTAGTTCAACCACATGGTTGGTGTCCGAAGTGGTTGACTCCATGCGATGAAAATGGAAACGTTTCTTAGACCATTTCTACAACTGGATATTAGCTCACTGAACTTCATTGTTCCGTTTACTTCATTTTAAGCTTAGTAAAGAAAACAGTACAAACTGTTAGTTAAAAAGTTTCATTTTTTGACTTATTTCATGTCTGTAGTGTAAAAACTGAACACTAAATATTCATACTTAGCTTAGATGATGGATGATAAAGTCTGATATTTAAAGGTTGACTGTAAACATATTGCATTATTTCTATGTTCGATTCACACAACTAATTACATTGATAAGCACCTGATAAAATATCTTAAAATAAATAAGGGATTCCTTAACATTAAAGTTATTATCTTTGATGACACTTAAAATCTTGTTTTGTTCCTTATTCAAGAAATCCATAACATATAATAGTACTTTTCCAGGAACAGCATTAAATCGTTGTTTTAATCGATGATGTTTCTTGGTTTCTGTTTTCTATCCTACTTTCCGACTGCTGGCCCCGAGGAGCACACATTAACTTCTATGTCTGCTCTAACTTTTATTTATTATTCCATTATTGAGCCAAACTTTTTTTTTTCCTCCTCCGAGCTTAGCAAACAGTTTGTAAAATAATTACTATCCTGAGTGGATTTTACTGTCCAGTCTGCATAACAGTAAGCGAACTGGTCAAAAATTAACAAACATGACTCACATCTACGTGATTCTGCCTTTCTGGCTGATAATGCCACATTTCTCTCCTCAGTCCGAACACTTTTACAGCATTTTATTAATTAAAAGCAGCAGAAACTGCAATTTGAAATAAGTTAATTCCTATGTTAGCCTATGACAGGAACTAATGTTAACAGCCAAGACGCTTTCGGCAAACTGGGCGCAGATGAAAATGAATTATTAATGCAGATTATTTCAGCTGCTTTAACAACAAATAAAGGCAGATCCAGGGCGAAAGACACGATCAGTTACTTCCAGAAGAGCGTTACCAGGTATTTTATTTGTAAAGCTGTGCCATCTCTGTCATTTGGAACCTAAAAAAAAATAAATTCTAAATGCTTTTTAAATAAACAAAATGAAAAGTTTCAAAAATTCACTTCAGATTGTATGGCAGGTTAAATGATCTCCATGGAAAACTAACAGAAATCAAACGAATTAACTAGGTTGCATCATATTGATTAATCAATAAAAAAAAAAGTTTGCTTTGACCCAGGAAAATAAACTTTATTAAGCATGTTTATCTTTACAGGTACAACAATTTAAAAAAAATTAACAATAAATTTAGCAGCAGTGGATTCTGTCAGCAAGTCAGATATAATAAAATAGTGAATTATTATTCATCTTTTTTGGACCTCTAATCTACAAAAGGTCAAATTGCTGCATTTTTTTTTGTGATAAATTGATATATTTTAGGTTGTTCCACAATGTTCTGTCAAATTTTTTTTACTTTTTTATCAAAGAGGAATTCACCAAATTGATTCTCCTATTGGACTATCTGGATCCCAGTTAAGGCAGTTTATTTGATCAGTAGCAATCAGTACCCTTCCTCTTCACCCTTTTCACCTCAGACTTCAGCTATCGCTCTGAGTCCTGCCACCTTCAGTTGTTTTCTGATGACTCAGCTATTGTTGGCTGCATTGAAAAGGGTGAGGAGAGGGAATACAGGACTGTGGTGGGCAACTTTGTCACTTGGAGTGAGCTGAACCACCTGCAGCTCAACGTGACAAAGACTAAGGAGCTAATAGTGGATCTGAGGAGGACAAAAACACCTGTGACCCCTGTTTCCATCCTGGGGGTTCCTGTTGACACTGTGAAGGAGTATACAGGTGCTGGTCATAAAATTAGAATATCATGAAAAGATAGATTGATTTCAGTAATTCCATTTAAAAAGTGAAACTTGTATATTATATTCATACATTACATACAAACTCATATATTTCAGATGTTTATTTTGTTTAATTTTGATGATTACAAATGACAACAAATGAAAATCTCAAATTCATCATATCAGAAAATTAGAATATTACTGAAGACCAATAAAAACAAAGGATTTATCGAAATGTTGGCCAACTGAAAAGTATGAACATGAAAAGTATGAGCATGTACAGCACTCAGTATTTAGTTGGGCCTCCTTTGGCCTGTATTACTGCAGCAATGCGGCGTGGCATGGAGTCGATCAGTCTGTGGCACTGCTCAGGTGTTATGATAGCCCAGGTTGCTCTAATAGTGGCTTTTAGCTCTTCTGAATTGTTGGGTCTGGTGTATTGCATCTTCTTCACAATACCCCATAGATTTTCTATGGGGTTAAGGTCAGGAGAGTTTGCTGGCCAATTAAGAACAGGGATACCATGGTCCTTCAACCAGGTACTGGTAGCTTTGGCACTGTGTGCAGGTGCCAAGTCCTGTTGGAAAATGAAATCCGCATCTCCAAAAAGTTGGTCAGCTGCAGGAAGCATGAAGTGCTCTAAAACTTCCTGGTATGTGGCTGCGTTGACCCTGGACCTCAGAAAACACAATGGACCAACACCAGCAGATGACATGGCACCCCAAACCATCACTGACTGTGGAAACTTTACACTGGACTTCAAGCAACGTGGATGAAGTGCCTCTCTTCTTTTCCTCCAGACTCTGGGACCTTGATTTCCAAAGGAAATGCAAAATTTACTTTCATCAGAGAACATGACTTTGGACCACTCACCAGCAGTCCAGTCCTGTTTCTCTTTAGCCCAGGCAAGACGCTTCTGACGCTGTCTGTGGTTCAAGAGTGGCTTGACACAAGGAATGCGACAGCAGAAACCCATGTCTTTCATACGTCTGTGTGTGGTGGTTCTTGAAGCACTCACTCCAGCTGCAGTCCACTCTTTGTGAATCTCCCCCACATTTTTGAATGGGTTTTGTTTCACAATCCTCTCCAGGGTGCGGTTATCTTTCTTGCTTGTACACTTTTTTCGACCACATCTTTTCCTTCCCTTCGCCTCTCTATTAATGTGCTTGGACACTGAGCTCTGTGAACAGCCAGCCTCTTTAGCGATGACCTTTTGTGTCTTGCCCTCCTTGTGCAAGGTGTCGATGGTCGTCTTTTGGACAACTGTCAAGTCAGCAGTCTTCCCCATGATTGTGTAGCCTATAGAACTAGACTGAAAGACCATTTAAAGGCTTTTGCAGGTGGTTTGAGTTAATTAGCTGATTAGAGTGTGGCACCAGGGGCCATCAATTTTGAACCTTTTCACAATATTCTAATTTTCTGATATGATGAATTTGAGATTTTCATTTGTTGTCATTTGTAATCATCAAAATTAAACAAAATAAACATCTGAAATATATGAGTTTGTATGTAATGTATGAATATAATATACAAGTTTCACTTTTTAAATGGAATTACTGAAATCAATCTACTTTTTCATGATATTCTAATTTTATGACCAGCACCTGTACACTCACCGGCCACTTTATTAGGTACCCCATGCTAGTAATGGGTTGGACCCCCTTTTGCCTTCAGAACTGCCTCCATTCTTCGTGGCATAGATTCAACAAGGTGCTGGAAGCATTCCTCAGGGAGTGTGGTCCATATTGACATGATGGCATCACACAGTTGCCGCAGATTTGTCGGCTGCACATCCATGATGCGAATCTCCCGTTCCACCACATCCCAAAGATGCTCTATTGGATTGAGATCTGGTGACTGTGGAGGCCATTTGAGTACAGTGAACTCATTGTCATGTTCAAGAAACCAGTCTGAGATGATTCCAGCTTTATGACATGGCGCATTATCCTGCTGAAAGTAGCCATCAGAAGTTGGGTACATTGTGGTCATAAAGGGATGGACATGGTCAGCAACAATACTCAGGTAGGCTGTGGCGTTGCAACGATGCTCAATTGGTACCAAGGGGCCCAAACAGTGCCAAGAAAATATTCCCCACACCATGACACCACCACCACCAGCCTGAACCGTTGATACAAGGCAGGACGGATCCATGCTTTCATGTTGTAGATGCCAAATTCTGACCCTACCATCCGAATGTCGCAGCAGAAATCGAGACTGATCAGACCAGGCAACGTTTTTCCAATCTTCTATTTTCCAATTTCGATGAGCTTGTGCAAATTGTAGCCTCAGTTTCCTGTTCTTAGCTGAAAGGAGTGGCACCCGGTGTGGTCTTCTGCTGCTGTAGCCCATCTGCCTCAAAGTTCGACGTACTGTGCGTTCAGAGATGCTCTTCTGCCCACCTTGGTTGTAACGGGTGGTTATTTGAGTCACTGTTGCCCTTCTATCAGCTCGAACCAGTCTGGCCATTCTCCTCTGACCTCTGGCATCAACAAGGCATTTCCACCCACAGAACTGCCGCTCACTGGATGTTTTTTTCTTTTTCGGACCATTCTCTGTAAACCCTAGAGATGGTTGTGCGTGAAAATCCCAGTAGATCAGCAGTTTCTGAAATACTCAGACCAGCCCTTCTGGCACCAACAATCATGCCACGTTCAAAGTCACTCAAATCACCTTTCTTCCCCATACTGATGCTCGGTTTGAACTGCAGGAGATTGTCTTGACCATGTCTACATGCCTAAATGCACTGAGTTGCCGCCATGTGATTGGCTGCTTAGAAATTAAGTGTTAACGAGCAGTTGGACAGGTGTACCTAAAAAAGTGGCCGGTGAGTACCTGGGAGTGTACTTTAACAATAAGTTGGACTGGACTAGAAACACAGAGGGGGTCTACAAAAAGGGCCAAATCCGACTATTCTGCCTGAGGAGGCTGAAGTCCTTTAACATCTGTGGGACGATGCTGAGGATGTTTTATGAGTCTGTTGTTGCTAGCACGCTCTTCTTCGCTGTCACATGCTGGGGCAGTGGGCTGAGGGTCGCTGAAAACAACAGACTGAACAAACTGATCAAGAGGGCCGGTGATGTTGTGGGGGAGCAGCTGTACACCCTGACCACCGTGGCAGAGAGGAGGATGCTGTCCAGGTTTCAGTCCATATTAGACAATGACTCACATCCTCTCCACGACACACTGGTCCAGCAGACGAGCTCCTTTAGCAGAAGACTCCTCCTACCCAGATGCACCACAGGAAATAATTCCTACCTGTGGTCATCAATCTATATAACGCCTCCCTCAAGTGATTCAGACACCCCCCCCCGTAATTGACATTTATTCACTATTTTTGCACGCCACGTATCACTTTATTTAGATTTATCACTTTATTTGGATTTTCACTTTATTTGGATTTAGTTTTTACATATGCATAGATATATGTACAGATATATATACAGAAGAGCTATATGTGTATATATTTTATCTCTTTTTATTCTTATTTTTTATTTTTATTATATTGTATAGTCGGATGTGTATATATTATATAAAACTGTAACTAGAGCGTGTAACAAAAGTAATTTCCCTCTGGGATTATTAAAGTATTTCTGATTCTGATACTGAAAGCTTCTCAATGAAGTAACCTCCTGCTTATATATTACGTTATTTGATGCCAGGTGTACAGATCGGATGCCATGCAGCTGTATGCTACACAGCTTATTGTTAAATATTAGACATTCTCAAGGACAAAATTAAAACGCCATCATAGGTTGTGTAAGAAGAATGGCTCTGTTAAGTATTCCATAACAAACTTTAACATTTTACATTAATGTTCTTATGAATCTGTACCGATTCCTGCATTCCTGTGTAGGAATGTCACAATTTGCTTTATTTGCAGTTATACCCAAAAAGTAGTTAGTTACTGATGGGTACAATTCAGGCCTTTTGCACTTTTGTTTCCATCTACGCTATATAAAAAAAGAGCGATTGGCTGCACATCTAAACTTGCACATACTGCCATTATCCCTCGTTTTTATTTTCTCCTTATTCGTCATCCTATAGAGTCCTTCCAACACAGTGATTTTTGTTCGCACTGTTGATAATGATGTGAGTGATGAAAAACCAAAGTCAAATTCCTTGTCTATGCACAACCTTTGCCATTAAAGATCATTCTGAAAAGCAACTGAAACAGTAGAAAACTTCAATCTTAGATGGTTAAAATAAAGCAGTCTGTTTAAAGACCAAGAGCAGTTTTTTCTCCTGTAGTTTTGCCTGCACATGGTTTAATAGATGTGCACGGAAATATTCGGTGATGTAAATAATAAGGCAGTCAGTCGAAGAGACAAAATATGCTAACATCAGCTGAGCAAACTGCTTCATAGCCAACAGTAATAGGACATGGAATTACTAAAGCCTGATGTTGTATGTGCAGAGTCAAATGTGTTTAGAGATAAATCATAATGATAAGCATATTTCACACATTAGGTCATGTGTTAGCAGCATATTAAGCATGTCCTCCAAAGGATGCTGTTAGGGGACAATCCCCCTCTCTTATATACTGTTCAGTAAAAAAGCAGCCTTCCAATCCAGTGTTATTCTTAGAACCTAAAACATTTTAATGTGTATTTATTAAACAACTGTTCTTCACATGAATGTTATATTTAAATGTATGCTAGAAGCTTACCACAGCTGCACCCCTGCCGGTCTGATGGCCTCCCAGCCACGGCACATTGATGGGTGTGCCGGGGCTGCTGTGGGTGTAAGGGGTTGTGCCGTGAAGCGAGGCAAAGTCGTCACGCGTGTGGACCACCAGGAAGTCATCACCGCCGACTCTACAGGCAGAAAAATAATATATAATTAATAATATATAATAATATATATATAATAATATATAATAAATAAGACATATATAATTAGCTGACATGGGTCATAAGACGTGAGCAGACTGGTAAGGGATTCTTTTCTTGCAGAAAATGAGCAGCTTTACACATTCATTCAGGAACATATGAATCCTTTAACCCTTAACATAATGACCATTCTTGCAAGACTACTGACATTAAAATGATTATTATAAATCATTAGAACAGCTTTCATAAACAGTCTGAAATCAAGTTAAAAAAGTGACTTAAATCAATACCGTAGATAAAATGAGGGAGTTGATGCACTAGTTGCAGGCTAGTGCAGTGTAAATAAATGCTAATGGACAAACATGCAAGTTAGCTCTCTTACCCTTTGGATTCCACTTCATCATCATCGATCCAAGTCAAGATCTGTGTGGCCAAAATGGATGACACATCCAGCTCCTGAATGTCATGAGTGGAGGCCATGACTAAACAGTTACGGTTTGCCTGGCGGACAGACAAAGACGAGACGTGAGGAAACAGAAGGATGGAAGGCAGAGGTGACAGAAGTGAGGGGAAAATAGGTCGAGTCTCAGAGGAACTGCATCAGACAAATTTAATGTGCCTACTGGCCAGTGCTCATTCATGTCGCCTCATATCAGAATCAAGATGTCACTTTAAAGGTGTCACTTGTTGGCACAAATAGTGTGTAATAATACTCTGTACTTTTATAGAACCACAAACCTGTCCTTAAGCAGCAGATATACACTTTTATACATACAGGCGGATCTTGGTAAATTAGAAAATAATCAGAAAGTTATTATATTTCACTAATTCAACGGAAACTGTTAAACTTATCATATAGATTCATGACACAAACTAATACTTTTCAATCATTTTAGTTAGCATGGATTATTATGGTTTACAATTAATAAAAAAAAAAAAAAAGGTTTTCCTTCATTAAAGAGCTTCTGAGAGCTTGTATTTCCCTTTGATTAAACTGTACTGAGAACAACGCTTTAGTTCAACCAAACTGCTGTACCTGATCTGACACCTTTAGTAATGGCACCATGGCGTCCTAACTTTTTAAAGACTGTTTTAAAGTTCCGGGAGGAGGGTAATATAGTCTTTCCAGACAGCACTTTGTTTTGGCAGGCAGAATTACTTAGTCTGAGGGTTATTTTCCTTTAATCACAGAAGAAAAGACTCTGGCAGCACTAGATAAAGAGCAACATTGAACCAAGGCCATTAGTCTTAACCCCATTCTGTTTTCAAAGAAGACAGTCTCAGCATCAGATGATGTAGAAGGTAAGAGACCATCCCGATGAGTTCTGTTTTGTCTTCTGCATTAAAATGCATTAGCGCGAAAGCAATTTGGCTTGAGCCTTTCATCAACTCAAAGAAATACGCCTGTACATCTTTAAGTGTTGTAAAAACAGAAAGTCAAACTTATATAATATGTATTCACTACACTGGCTGAAATACTTCAAGCATTTACTTCTCTAGATTTTGATGATTATGGCTACAGGTAATAAAAAGCAGAAATTTTGTATCCCTAAAAACTAGAATGACGGATGAAATTGATTAAAAATATTTTGAACAAAGAAGCTAGGCTTCCAAATGCATGTCCCATCTGTTAATGGGGGCTCTGACACCAGCCTCAGTCTACTGCTGGTGAAGCAGCCCCCTATTCTTGATGGATTTTGCTCAACAGTCCCCTGAAGGCAGCATTTATCCCTGTTTTGCACCTTTCCATCCACATTTTCTTTCAACTCAGCTGTCAATGAATAGGCTAAGATACGGCCCTATGAACAACCTTTTGTGCCCTTGTGGAGGAACTTAATGACTGTGTAGTGAACATCTGTCCAGTCAGCCGTCATGATGTTTTTTTCTCAAACTGACCAATGAGAAGAGATATTTAGAGGATCAGAAAATCTTTGCAGGTGTTTAGAATGCAATAGCTGATTAGGGTGGGGCATCATTAGTTTCCAATATTCAACTTTACCACAGTATCCTAAATTTCTGAGAAACTGAATTTTGGGTTTTGCCATAATTCTTAACATTATACGAATTAATTAATGTAATTAATCTGTAATAGATGCTAATCTGTAATATATGGCTTTCACTTTTTAAATTAGTAAAAAAAATATTAACCTTAGTTGCTGCTATTGTATTTTTATAGTTGTGCATGCTTGATAATGTATCACTGGAATAGACACAAACATTTAGTAATAAAAAACATCTCTCTTTTGACATACTCAATTTGTTTCTGGTCATCAATTCCAGTGGAAAATGCCTATAAGTGTGTAAACCTTCTCACTATAACCTATGCTGGTTTATCATCACAGCAGGCCATAAAATAAATACACATCTAAAGAAAGGGAAAACGTATCACATAATATTTTACCAGAGTTGGTTTTAAATTAGGGAAAAGGGTTGATTACCATTGTTCTTCAAAGAAACTAAACAGAAAACTGCATCAGCTTCCATGGTACAGATAATTTTTTTATAACATTACACAAATAGAAAAAAAAAAAAAAAAAAAAACATGAAGCAAGGACAGCCAAAAAAGAAACTGAAGTGATTAACTGTGAACACCAATGTATTTTTTGTATTTATTTTGTGACATAAATGTGAGCGGCTTTTACCTTGTTGATGGCAAAGGCTGTGATGATGTCAGATTCCTTGTGGATGATGCGTGCTTTGCCTCCGGGGCAGCCCAGATCTGACTCCGTCTGTAGCGAGTAAAACACACACCATGTCACCACCATGGAGATTTAGTAATTACAAGTGAAATGTTGGCAAATAGTTCCTGCAGACATAATCCCTGCACCATTTCCTTAAAAATACACAACAGAAATAGGAGAGCTGAACAAATCACTTGTCAAGTTATGTTCTGCAGAATAGATCTGCAAATCTAATCCTATTAATTATTTTCACCACTATAGTATTTAAGACGCTCATTCTTCTGTTTAAAAGATAAGATGAATCAGGCCAAACTTATAATAGTACAGAGCTATGATTATATTTCTTCACATTAAAATCAACTGTTATGTTTTATAGGAATTTGGCATGGTAGGCAACCAAGGGCAGTATCTAATAATAGAAAAGGAACTAAAAATGAAACACTTATAATTGCTATTTTTTTCACTCTCTTAAAAATTACATTTACCGTATTTTCACGACTATAAGGCGCACTTAAACGTCTTTTTTTTCCCTCAAAATGTGCGGTGCGCCCTATGGTGCGGTGCGCCTTATGTGTGTTGTAACTGCGACTTTTGAGACCACCTCATTGAGGAGATGATGAAAGAGTGGCTGAATGTAAGGAGACCAGGTGTTTTTTTTCCACTCATCACCATCGCTGTTAATATGTAACTCCATGCGTGCCCATCTCACAGCTGATGTGAAAAACATGGGGAAACAAATTAACGCTGCTCGACATCGGTGTGAACCGGACCCAGCAGGTGCAGCAGAAGCAGCGAGTTTACATGCAAAGTCAATGGTTGACGCGCGTATAGGTGCAGCAAAAGGTCCCGCAGCGCGTTTTGAGCTGCAGGTGCAGCACGTCGGGAGCGTTTAAGCATCTGAAGCGCCGCGCTTCTGCTGCTCGAGATGGAAAAATGGAAGTTTTGCTGCTGGACGCGCCGCATCAACCAATCAGAGAAGCTGATCTGGGAGCTGCCAGCGAGACAGACAGCGCTCTGATGACATATGATATTAACGCAAATGGAAAAGGCTGGATGGATGCGTGGCTGAGGCAGGTGTATGTGAGAAGACTAGGTGGTTTTTTCCACGCATCACCATCGCTGCGTGCCCATCTCACAGCCGATGTGAAAAAAAGGTGAATCAAATGAACGCTGTGCTCGCCGTTATCCCGGGGGTCTGACAAAGGAACTTCAACCGCTCGACATCGGTGTGAAGCAGCCGTTCGAAGGCTGCGAGCGGCGTGGGAGCGATGGATGACAGACTGAGACCACAGTTTCAGGATAAGAAGGCAGCGCCGGGCAGATTACGCCACAGTTTGCGGATGGATTGTAGATGCTTGGACTAAAGTGTGTGCTGGCTCTGTTGTTCAAGCTTTCGCAAAAGCCGGCATTATTTCTGAGGAGCTGCGCTGCACGGAAAGTGACTGACAGCGAAGAAGGGGAAACTGGCATGTCTGATTTAGCGCAGCTGTTTTATTCAGAAACAGAGGATGATGACTTTGATGGGTTTGATTAATACTTTGTAATAAATACATGAATAAAGCACAATCATACTCAGGTTTGCTCCCGCTGTATTTTTCTCCCTGAAAACTTAATTCAACAGCATCCCCGGCGCGTCTCCTCCTCTTCATCGCGGTGGCTGGCAGGTGTTTTTTCATCTAAATAATCTAAATCTTGCAGCTATATTTGCTGTGATCAGTGGGAATAAAGTAGTTTTAATATGTTTTTAAGTGAGAAAGTCCACCTGAAAACTTAATAATTGCAGTCAGTTCATCCAGATTATCTATTTCTGTCGGAGGCGCTCAGACCCCCACATACCAGCGGTGCGCTGACAGCAGAAATCTCTTCATCAGCAGCCTGTAGGCTGGGCAGCCTGGGGTTCATCGTGGCTGCTGGCAGGTGTTTTTCATCTAAATAATTTTAGCTGCAGGCACCAGGATACCGGTAATAAAAGCGAACATATTCCGTCAGCAGGTTTCAGGATTTTAAGTTAATTTAGGAGTGACCACAGCGCTGTGTCATCTGCGATGTGTCTGTCTCATGGCCAGCTGCCATGGTTTGATTAATACTTTGTAATAAATACATGAATAAAGCACAGTCATACTCAGTTTTGCCCCCGCTGTATTTTTAAATACGCAGTAGAGGTATTTAAAGGTAGTAGAGGACTTGTACCTGTATATAAAAAACGCGCCCTATAGTCCGGTGCGCCTTATGTGTGTGTTAAATACAGAAATGGGACACATAACTGAGAGTGCGCCTTTTAGTCCGGTGCGCCTTATGGTCGTGAAAATACGGTAAGAGATATGTGGTTTGGCAGAAACACATTTTCATGTAGCAGCACTTCTCTGTTTCTACTAGCTTGGCCCATCTGGACAGTGAAATGTTTCCCATCGTTAGATGATGGATAGATGCTTAATGCGATATTCAAAGCTTCGACTATAGCTATAAAGCCTAAACCTGCTTTAACCTTTCCCACAATTTTATCTCCTGACTTGTCTGCTATGTTCCCTGGTCCTAAAGATGCTTTTTGTTCACTGATGCTCTCCAACAAACCCCTGATGCCAACACAATCTTTAGAGATTAATTTACTATATTTACTAATCAGGTTGTTGCACAGGATTTTATCTAATGAATAAATGAATAAAACACTAAGGTTTTTAAGTATAGACATTTCTAAAGCCATATATAATTTTCCTTTTATTCCACAATTATCCCTTACCCAATAGCATACAAAGAAGATTCTCAAATGTGAAAGAGTCAAGGGTTTCAAAATGATCTGTGAAATGGTGCCAGCTAGTAGAGACAGAAAATTGTGAACTTGACACCCAAGCTACTCAAGACGAGATTGAATTAAAGTCTTCTGAGCATTTGGGTTGGTAGGAGAACAATGTGTTGTTTTATTTTAAAGAGTCAAATAAAACTTGACCTGCAGAAATCTAAATATGGTGTTTTGCCATTTTCACTAGCACATAATCTCTGCAGGATGCAAATTCACTGCGACAGAGCTAAGCCCATTAATGTGAAGCTGTTCAGCTTCGTAGGGTGTCCTCTGAGAGACCGGGTTAATTAAAGCTGAACCAAATGGAGTACCTACAATGTGCCGGCTCTCACAGTGAAAGCCACACGATTAGAACGTGTCTGTGAAGCATTGGTTTACAGAATGATTTAAGATTTATGGCTCACACTCGCATTAATATTAAGGCAGTCAAATGTAAGATTAATATCAAACTCCTGACAGAAACATTCGGAGTTCATAGCCCTAAGAAAACAAGTACTGTAATTCTGCCAGAACTTTTCATATTGGATAAAAGTGGTTATGCAACTAGAACAGAAATGACAAGTACTTTAAAAGTGTGTGCCTACTAGCCCGACAGCTTGAACGATTCCGACTTTAAACCGATGATGTTTGTTACGTAAGGCGTTATATTTACAGGAGTAGTAAACAGAAGACCGCCAAACATTTCTTAGTGTTCAAAGAATGTTATATAAAATGTCATGTTCTGGAAGGGACAACTGCAAAACATGACATTTTTAGAAGCACATCATGAATCATACAAACCTGCTGATCAGCAGGCATATTTTTAAAGCTGAATACGCTTTTCTTTTTAACAAAATGGCCTTTTACCAAAAAAAGCTTCAGAGGAAAATCTTTCAAAACTACCCTTTTTTTGGTCATGAAGACTCTCAGTCATCCAGGTCATACTCATTCCAAAAAAGTAAAAAAAACACCACTGTTTGCAATTTTTAAGACGTTTTGCTTCCAATCCAGGAAGCTTTTTAAATTCAAAATGTCAGAATTAAGGTAGAGTTCGAGGCTTAAAAACATGCTAATTGAACCGGACGAACGGGTCTGCCCCTTAGGAATGGGGGTTTAATTGGGTTCTCTGTTAGTCTGACAATACCCAATACTGGTTTATGCCTCTGAAAGGAGGGTTGTTAGGGGGAATTGTTGGCCTGCCTGAACAGGCAAGATGTTCTGGTCCCCTGTATGGGGGTGGGGGTTGCGATGATAGCGGGAAGAAACCAACTATCGCTGCATTATAGGTTTTTGAAAGCTGTAACAGCTGAGTCCACCACATCTGTTTCAGGTTTTAGCTTTCACAAACCTACAATGCAGCCATAGAGGGAAAGATGGCGTAATTATTCAACAAAGCCTGCTGATACTTGCAGTTAAACAATACTATCTTGGTCATTTCAGTACATTTCAGTCACTATCCTTAAGCCGCGAAATTTTTTTCTTTAACAAAATAAGATTCCAGTTTCCCCATATTCATTTTTCTGGTGTTTCTACAAATTTATTAGATCCTTAGCAGGTTTTTTGTAGTAATTTTGTTTTCTGCTATTATCATACCATTTTAGTCATTTTTGCTTCAGTTTCTCTTTGTTTCTGCAATTTTTCATTCACACTGCATTTTTGAAGGAAATGCCACTTTTTCTGGTTTTGTTTGTGCTTTAATATAGTAAAACTGATATGAGCAGCTCAAATAACAAGTCATTAAAAGCTGGACTGGTGCACCTTTAATTCAAACCTTTCATGCAAACATTTCATTTGGACTGACTGAACTTAAGTGTTGTAAGGTTTGACAACATTCATCCCACTCATACACCCACCCCACTGCCACACCACAAGCAATAATCAGAAGAAGCAGTACCTGACTGTTTCCTGCCCCTTCCACTCCTGAATATTTCATAATGTCAGGGTGGTCCTCAACCAACTTTAAAGATTGGGGGAGCAGCGAAAGGGGAGACCAGCACAAACAAAAAACACAACAACCAGTGATAAAACATGCAAATACACAAACATTAATTCATTGTTATGTTATTGACTCAGTGTTTTTAATTATCTGCATTAAAAATGGAAGCATTGACATGCAAATTAATGCAATTACAATAAATCTGGTCTGCATGCAGCACCCAAAAAAAATTAAAAGAAGCAAAGGCATCAACAGTGATTTAAAAACACAAATGACGTCATCAATCTGGGGTAGATGCAGATGCACTGTGGCTTCTATCATAGTGTTAAAATATGTTACTTGGTGAGAGTTAATATAGTGAGTCTCATGCAGTTGGCTGGTAGACTAGAAGTGTATCGTACCTGATTTGTGCCTGGTTTCTTTGTGAAGATGTTTCTAATGAATGTCTCCTGCACCTCTTCCTGTTTGACCAAATACTGCCATAAACGCTTCACAGGCAGTGCTGAATGGTGGCTATTTCTAGGGAAAAAAAAAAACAGAAAGGACCAACAACAGGAAGATTATAGATTTATTTGAAGAATTTATAAAAATGGCTTTACAAGCAGCACAGGGATAAAAGCTGTTGTCCATTCAGAGGGACTATTTGCTTTGAGGACATTTTAGCGGTTCTTTAAAGGTGTCAATAAAGTGCCATTTTTACTCCTTTAAAAACAAAAGAGACAAACGAGTTTTTTTATTTTTAACCTAAAAAGACACTGGTACCTGAAAGGAGTGTTAGATGGTTCAAATAGGGCTTTGTGTCTGAGCAGGGCAGGGCCAGGTGTGGTGATTTCATCCTGGAGGTAAGTGGAGATATACTTAGAGGGAGGGCCGCCGAACAGCTCCAGCCTCTTTTGCAGCACCTGCTCCCATCGTTGCAGCGTCTTAACTACGGCGTGACATAGTGGAGAGGCCACAGGCAAATCTGGGTTTAAAAAAGCAGCAGCACAAAAAGGTAGCAACATTAGCTGAGAGAGGCAGAATGAAAGAGGGCAGCACTCATCTGCGTCCTGAATGCTATTCTTTTTTAACAGGTAGACTAGTTTAGCCTTTACCTAACAAATCGTATCCTGCCATCGGGTAAAAAGACTTGAGGTTGACTAATACCAGCTGAACCATGGCTAGACGCATCAAACACCAGCTTAAAGAGAAAAGAGGCAAAATTGAATCATTTCAAGGGGAATAAGGACATGATGGTGTGTTGAAGCTGAATTAATGGATGTTAAGAAGAAACACAGGAGCCTGTAATGTAAACATCTTGTTTTGAGTGGGAAGATGAGTCACAGTATACAGAGATAACCACTCAGTGGTGTGTCACCTGTATGAATTATGGTTGGAATGTTCTCTCTGCGGAGAGTTGGGCTCAAAGACGTCTCCAAATTCATCGTCTTCATCTTCATCCTGGCTGTCCTGGCTCTCCTCTGAGTCATAATTAACTCTGCTTTCCGATGGTGGCAGCTGAGGCTGGGAAGCAGAAGGACAGAGCAACAAGGAATCAGCTGGAAGATATGACTTTGTGGCAGGAGAATTAACAGTTGTGGGGTTTTTGCCCTCATTGTCATCTATATTGTGGATTACCTTGGCAATAAAATAATCCCAGATACTGAGCTCTGGAGGAACAAACTGCTCTTTAAAGATGGAGGTAGTGTCTTGTTCCACAACAATCTTTGGAATGGATGGTCCTTCCCGCTCAATTCCTGACTCTTCCTTGGAGCTGCTGCGGGATGACAGAAGCCTGAATCGTCGTGATTTCCTGTCTGACCCACTTGGGGAGGCTGATAAAACAACACATATGTTAAATTTGCTTTAATGAATTAAAAGAAGAAGAAAAGAAAACATGACCTCTATGCCAGAGAGAAAGTAAGCATTTGCTAAATAATCACTTGGAGGTGGCGTTCTAGCAGGGCTGCTGGATTTATCCATGACAGGGACACGTGCGCCTCCTCCAAACACAGTCGTCCAAAGGTTGCAGTTAAGTGGATGCGCCGCGATGCGAAAAAGCTCGTTGCTGGAGTGCGTTGCCATCCCGTGAACAAACAGGCTGAGGAAGACTGCAGTCAGGATCTCACAGAGCAGCACAGCCAAGCCCGGCTGGATCTCCTCACCTGCAGAACTCAGCAGGCAAATAAGGGAGGCAACACCTGAAAAAACAAACAAACCATTAAGTTGCAAAGAGTCAATAAAATTACAGCATTTTTTCTAAATTATAAGTTTATAAGTTTTTATAGAAAGAAAAAAATTACAAAATACAAATTAAAGTATCAGTTCAAATGGATCTTGTGCTATATGAATGTGTCACTAGTTTAGCCCAAAATTATTCATACCACAAAGGGATTCTGATTTAAAAATTTCCTTGAATCAAGCCCGTTTTTTGATTAAAACACATATGAGACAGGCACCTCTCAAAACAATAAAATACAAAAGAAGTTTTAATTTTCAAAGATAGGGAATACATTTTAATAATTTATTTTCTGCATCTTTAAATCTATAACCAATGAATAGAAAAACAACAGTACAGCCTTTATCGAACAGCTTTGTTCATGTTTCCACTGCAATTTAAACCATATTGGTTTTAAAGTCCTAGCTTTGACGTTGGAGGACCTTCCCAGTATCCTAAACGTTTGCTCCTGACAGCAAATGCATCAATAGTCAGACAAAAGTATTATATTAAGCAACAACAACAACAACAAAAAAAGACTTAAGAATCTTAGCTCTTCTTTCCAAGGCTAGAAATAAATGGCATTATGGGAAATATTAAACACACAATTCTAAAATGGATGGTCTGTTTTAAATTCTCCTAAATTATCATGTAAAATGTAACAGTTAACAAAAAGTGGGGATCGTTTCCATCATCAAAATCTTAACAGGAAACTATAGCAGCATTTTCTCAAACTGCGAAATGTCTCATCTACAAGGAATCCTCTGCAATACGTTAGTAAATAACCAGGTTCCAAATATCTTACTTTTATTTAATAAGCAAATGGTATCTTGCATATCTTTAGTCGGATCAACTGAATAGAAACATTGCACCTTAAAGATAACATTTAACTCTGAAAACAAACCAAAATGAGAGTGGAAGGTCTGATACTACTGTCAACTACCATGCTCTGAATTATTAAAGAATGTGACAGCAGCAAAGACAGATCTTTAATAATTAATGTAAATATAAACTATCTTCGCAGAAAACCTGAAGACTGATGAAAAAAACCCTGATTTCTGTCAGTATGTTTTTGGCTTGCTCTTAATTTACTCTCTACTTATAGAGTGAGCTAAAAAAAAAACATGCTTTCAGGACACGTTCTTTAAGTGTTGTACTAATTATGTCATAACCAATAACAGTGTTTCCTGACATTGCTGCTAATAAACTCAATGATGCAATTTGAGGTTCTCTACAAAATACATGACGCACTGAAGAAAGATCGTCTAGAAGATCTCTAATCACCCATCCCTGCCAACATATCTAATGAGTTATCAAGAGATCTATGTTGATCTCTACAAAATAAATGAACCATCTTTCACTATGGTTACTTGTTATCTTGCAAGGCTGATGAAAAAGAGACAATTTATCAGCTATGAAAACACGTGATTCAGTTTTGCTTTAGCAAAAAAAAAAAAAAAAAAAAAAAATACATAAATAAAAATAAGAATTGAAGGGCTTATGAAGAAAAAGTAGAGAAATTTACAAATACATTCAGATAACCTCCCTCTTTTAAAAGTAACTGGAAGATAGCTATTGCCTTTGGCATTTTGTGGAATAGAAGATCATTCTAACACAAAGATGTTGCATGTGTGGTCGCTAACTGGGAACATAGAGAAAAGGGTGAAAAACAGGTTGGCTTTAATTTCATTTTGCCAACTGGATCTGAAACACACAAAAAAACAATTGGAAACTTGTTTACAAAGGAGCAGCTGAGATGTGTGTATGAGAGACGGTAACCAAGGTTTTACAGAAATCTTTTTTTAAGTGTGCTCTGTCAGTGAAAGAAAACATGTCAATATCCACAGTTTGTGTTTTTAAATTATTCTATCCAAACATTATGCCTGCATGTTTCTCCAGGGTAATTAGATGTACCAGCGGTTTAATTTGTTTCCCTCAGAGTCTAAGCCCACAAAATACAATTCGTGTATCATATCAGTACTTGTACTTCCTTAAAAAATATGTTTATTTAGTGGTGGTGGAATAAATGGACTTTTTAGGACTGAATAAACATGTGGTGCAAAAAGAAAACAGTTGTGAGAGGAAGATTGAGAGTGTTTATTGGATAAGTCACTAATACAAAGTTGGCTATCCTGGTAAAGTATTTCTTAGAAGTGACAATGCTGGTCGGAATAGGAGCAGAAATTAAACTGAATGCTTCAATAAAATAGTATTTCTATTTAAATAATTATTTTTCAGCTATTTTAAATTTCTGGACAGGATGCTGAGTCTCAAAATCTGCTGCTCTTACATGAAATTTCTATAGTTTTCCTTCTCCTTGCTGAACAAATGGTCAAACAAAGCGTTTTTTTTAGAGGTTTTAGGCAATTTAGGCAGGACACTGCTGTCACTGTCATCCTACCTTTTGATAGCATAAAGTTAAGTTTTATATTTGCAATTAAGTCATTATGCATATGCTAAAGGTTTACTTTGTGAGAGTAAGGCTAATATAGAGCTACAATTTGCAGTTGAAACATCAGAAGGAGTTCTGGAAAACTGTAAGAATAACCCTTATAATAAGCCTTGGATCTAATAAATATGTTTTGATATGCACCATTTTTCATTATTCATCTTTATATAAACAATGCTATAGTGTCAAATAAATAAATGAGCAGAAATCTTATTTTAAAAATCAATGGCCTGTCATTATATGCCCTGTAATGCCACAAAAGAATGGTACTAGGTGATAAGGGAGACTAAAGTAATGTTAGTTCATATTATTTTGTTTCTGAAATAAAATGAAAATATGAAGTTATTGTTTTAAACCAACCAAGACCTTTAAATCTGATAGACTTACCAGGCCACTGAGCAGGAGGAGTGTTTGGTTGAACAGCCTCATCCATGCTGACGGCTTTCAGTGCCTGCTTCTGAGACAGTAAAATGCTCTGATACACAGTCCCAGTAAAATGGTTCACATGGCTACGAAACAAGGAGAAAAAGGACAAATTATGCCTTTTATACTTCATGCTGAACAGAAAGGTAAAACTTGAGAAAAAAAAACTTAGGATGATTATTTTTTTCCAAATAAAAATTTTCAATGCTTTGTTAGGGCAAGATAAAAAAAATGCTTTTATTAAATTCTCAGCTTAGCTCTGTTTATATCCTGTTGGCTAAGAAGGAATGCTTGCTAGAATCGTTTTTTTTTTATAAGCAAAACTAGGACCACCAGGGAGTCCTTCATTACCATTCAAAAACAAAAAATGATGAAAATCAATTTAAGAAAAAACATCCTCAAAAATAAAAAAGTACAGATACTTTCTCCTTCAGAGCTGACAGATTATATCAGTTCAGTTCATATGGATATGCCTAAATTAGCAAACTAAAAAGTGTGTAATAAATGCAATAGGGAAAAAAAAACTAAACATTTTTAAGTTTCAGACATTTAAATTGCAAACAACAAAAAAGTCACTTTTAATTTGTTTTATCAAGCTCAGAATGCTAAGATTATAAAATAGAAATAAAATTTAAACTTTTATTTACACACGAATTACCTCCTACTGGGGCGACATGCCTGGAAACCTCCCAAGGAGGGAACCAGGGGGCATCCAAGACATGTCTCTGAGCCACCTAAGGTGATGCCCTGATCTCTTCAAATCACATTATTAACTTAAATACATACTTTTCAAATTATTTGTCCTGCATGTTTACCTACCTGCCACCAATTGATTATATGGACAAATGTGGGATTATCACAATAACTGAATAACTTCATAATGTAATGTAGGGGATTCTAGTAATTGCTACTGGGAGAAATGGATAAACAATTAGCTCAGCCAAAATGTTTGTTTTCCCTAATTTACAGCTTTTGTCCAAATCAGCTATTTATCACCGTTGAGAATTAATTCTTTCAAGATATTTAAAGGAGAACAAGGCTCATTGTTAATGGCCTTCTGCCATGATTGACTGAGGGTTTGGATAAGAATAGATTAAATGAACAATGAAGCTCAAATACAGAAATAATTTCTATATTAGTAAAAGTAGACTAGCTCCATAGCTGGCTATGTCTAGGAAAGAAAGAGTTAAAGCTGGTGGGTAGAGCTGGTAGATACACTCTGAGACTTTGTGCCAAATCTTCAAAGATTCAAAATGAGCTTTGAATTTCATGCGCAAATAAAGCTTGCAGTAATGTGTTGAAGGAGATCTACAAAAGCTGCATACAAAAATTATAAAATGTACAAACCAGACCCATATAAAAAAGTTAATTATTTGTGCAACTGATTGGAAACAACCTATTTAGAGTTGGAGATCATTACAAAAAAATTAAAAAAAATTATAATGTAATTATGACATGTTTTACTTTAAATAAGTATGTCAAATAGCTACAAACCCGCCCCCCAAAAAAGAGAAGGATTCACCTTTTAGATTAATGGTGAGTTTACGCTCTAAATGGCTGGATTTACCTTTAACTCATCAGAACATCCACTTGACCCAATACGTTGCAAAACAAGTAGGCCCATATTATTTAATAAAACATAACTCTGAGCCTGTAAAAGAACATTGAGAGGGAAAAAATCCCTTTGACCGCAAGTTAGTGATGTGCACTTTCAGTCACCCTCTTCAAAAAACCTCATACGTCTGTCTTAACGCTTGCTTTTTCTTTCACCCCTTTTTACATATTTCTAAATTTAGAGACCGAAACGAATAATACCATAAGGAGCTACAAGCATGAACACAGATGAAAAGAAAGAGTAGTAACTATAGTGACATATGCCACTGACTTGTCTACGCAAAGGAAGGCTGTTCTGCATATCTGTAAATAAAGAAAATATAGCTCATAATCTGCTTATTTAAAGTGGAAAACAACAGTCTGGAAGAACTTCTTTGAGACAGAAAGTTCAATATTGTAAAGAAGAAAACAGCTCTCCTTAAAACTTTACACGAAAACTGCTGTAATTAATCTCCATTGTTGCAGGGCTGTGGCTTTAGCCTCCAGTCTGATGCAGCATTCATGCAATAGTAAACATCATCATCATCTTTATTTGTAGAGCGCTTTATAAATGGCTACCAGCTGAAAACAAAGTGCTAAACATGCAGCATAAACATATAAAATAAGGCAATAATGAGAATGGGTTCAAGCTAAATAAACAAGGTCCCAACAACTAAGCCCTGCCAGTGTTAGAAGGCAGCGAATATAAATATAAGTCTTGAGGGGTTTAAAATTTGGGATTGAACGAGCCCCTCCAATGTGCAGCTGGAGGTTATTGTATAAAATGCAGAAAATTAACAACGAATTCTGGCAAAACCATGACAGAGGCACACAAAGCAGCAGAGCTTTAGGCCAAATGGACTATTTGAAAAAACATAAATAAACAAAGAAAAAAAGGCCTCCCACACTCATGTATCCATCTAAAGTTTAAACCCAACTGTGTTCTTGTCAACCTGATTGGAAGCTATAGTACACCAGACTCTTAAATAAACAATGCTGCTCCCCATCTGCAAGAACCAAAAACATTATTAAGTATTTACAATAAGAATGACAAACAGCATCCTTACAGCTTTCATAATTCATGTTCAACATGATCAAAACAGACAAGTGCCTGTCATACTCCCAGCTACCAAACCTTCAGCTTCTAGTTTCCAATTCTTTAATTCACTGCAGCAGCTCTTTGGAAAACAAATTGGAAGCCTAGGCAAACTTTATCTTAAACATACATATCTTTTAGGAGTTATATACTGTGTGGAGTATATTAGTCAAACTGTATGTGTGCATTATGCTACCATTGTACAACCTGTACAGTGCCTTCTGGCTTTATTATTAGCAGTTAGGTTCAATTGTGCTTTTTAGACAATGTAAAAATAAATTAAAGAGGGAATTAAAATCTCACCAACAAGAAATCAGCCATGAGCTGAACTCTCTTTAAACTTTGTAAAATTAGCCTATTCTGTTCCATGCAGAAGTTTCAAAAGCAGGATTTTCTGAGAGCCAAAAAAATTATTTTTTTTAAATCTTCTTAAAACGCTAGTGTTCAAAAATCTTCTCACATTCAGACCGGAGAGTCTGTCAATACAGCTCGTCTAAGCAAACTAATTATATAGACAGCTATCACTGCCATGGTAACTCAAAAAAATGGATGAAGGCAGCTCTTTCTTCCTTGCTATACGTGACAGTATTGGTCTAAACAAAGACAGAGGCGCCCAGCTGTGAGACAGACTGTACACGGAGGCTATGTTGCTCACGAACGTTTCACTTTTCAAAGCGTGTGATGCAATTGTGCTGTCATATGTTGTTCTTGAGGCTCTGAGCAGATTATGTCAGCTGTGGAATCAAGATACTGCTTTTAGATTTATACTTCAACTACAAAACCTGTAAACATTTTATGACACTTTTTAAAGATGTCGAGTCAAGCAGAGCAAACCATTTGTAAAACAGCTTAGTACAAACATAAAAGCCTACAGGTACATCTCCATCTAAAATATTGTTGAAAAGGTAATATACTTTGATAATTCAATTAAAATTCAATTTGTAAATTCTATAGATCACAGCCTAAAACTCATAAAACCAAAAAGGTTCAAGTCCGACTCCGATTTGTAGCTGCTTAGAAAGATCTACATAAATAGCCCCAGAAGAAATGAGTGCTGGTCAGGCCAGATAAGGATTAAGCTTTGTTGCCAAAGTGACAAAATGCATGGTTAGCATAACCACAGTGGTCCTTTCTAAGTAAAGCACAGTGAAAAAACAAGCAAAGCAGTAGCAATATAATGCAGATAACTTGTTTTACTAAGAGCAGTAATTTGTTATTGGACAACATGGATGGAACACCTTGTGAAATGCATTCAAGCAAATATCTGAGTGGCATGTGCATGCAATGATGAACACACACACGCGTATTAATTCAGAAACTGTGTGGCTTATATAGAACCCTAAGCATTTTAATCTTCTCCACCCAGAAACAAACCAAAAACACTCAACTTTGTCAATAAAAAGGAAAGAGATAAGTGAAATTAACAAGTGATAAAATAGTTCTGCAACACTCACCTGTACTTGTGTCCATCACAAAGACATTGATAAATACATGCAGACAAGGAAGCAGCGAGGGTATGCATTACATAGATCTGAAAATGAGAGGAAAAGTGTTATTTAACTTTTTTGCTTATGTAGAAATTTATTTGCACTTCTGGTTCAGTCAGCAACTGAAAACTTATTTTCCGTTGGACAAAGTATTGAATATGGAAAACTAACTGTCCTACCTCATTATTAACCACATCTGGATGTGGAGGTGAGTCGAGCGCATTGATGGTTTGCAGGATGTCGTGAGTCAGATTGGTCAGATAGACGATGGGGTTGGCCACTACGGTCTTAACATTGACTGTGCAGGCAGTGAGCAGAGGGATAGAGGTCGGCTGAGGATTCATTGCTGCCACTGACCTCATGGAGTCATCCTGGGGACCCAAGGCAGAGAATATTTTCAAGCATTACTGCTAATAACATGAACCCTGTATGCTTATTTAACTGTGAGCAGAATTAATGTTATAACCTACTGTGTCAGGACACAAGAGGATATTTACACGATGGTTTGCTAAGAGATTCAATGCAATTCAATTCAAGCAAACATTTCAATGTAATTTAAAGGGATTTTATGTAAAGTATAAACATGAACTTGGATGTAATTGTGAAGAAGAATATAAAGTCCAAATCAACTCTCCAGAAATTTTCAGACTGGAAGGAGAGTAAAAAAAACAGCTTCTTTGAAAGTCATAACAAGATGCAGTTTCTTGACTTTGACTAGGTCATTATTAAATGGAAAACAATTAATTCTGATTGTTTAGCTCAATCATTCTTTGAACCATTTCTGACCAGATTTCGCAAATTTCTGCAAAAAACAAACAAAAAAAACATAGGAAATTTTTAAATCATTGAGGTTTTATAGGGCAGAAAAACATTGGGTAGTTCAAGAGTCGTGTATATTGCAAAGCAGCATGAGGCACAATTTAAAAAAATATTCAAATTTTGAATTTATTTCATAAGCAGGCTAAATAGAAAAAAAAAAAAACGTAAACCATGGATAACATCTTTGAAAACAGAAACTTTTCTTCAGCATTGATGAACTACGAGCCAACCACTTGAAATGTCATAATTTCCACAAGTATCTGTTGTGTGTCTGTGAGCCACTGACAGTTAAAGAGAAAAGAAGAAAACACTGGCAGTGCAGATGTGTGTGATTCTGTTTGTACTATGTTTCTGAACATCACTTTCTGCGTATAAGAATACCAGGAAGACTTATTTTCTTCACCCTTGATGAATCACAGAATCAGTTCTCAGTAACCTACTTAATAGAAACTCCTCACGCCATTTGAAGTAAACACAAAGGAAGAACGCGAACATTTCCTCAACAACAATGAGGAAATTTGACAACTAGGGGACCAAAGCTGGGGGAGCAGAAAATTATTTTATTTTCAAAATCAAAGCAGGAGAGCAAGAAGGACTCCCTGTGCCCATTGACTGTGCTACAAACAAAGCTCCCATGTTGCCTCATGGAAATGTTTACAACCGACTCCTCTTTTTATTACTCAGTCTTAAAGTAGGAACTTCTCCAGGGTTTGGGCACTTACTGCACAACCCGTCAGGCTTGATGCCCGAGGTAAACATCTCATCCACTTATCCAGCTGAAACAACAACAATTCAGCATTGTCATATGGTTCCACAAATGTGTATAAAAGTAAATCAGTGCTCATCTGCTCATTAAGCACCAAAGATAAGTTATTGTCCAATTGTTTTTAAATATAAAACCATTTTAATCACAAAAACAGCCTCAATATCAACCGTTATTGGTTGTATAACACCATAAAATAAACAAGCATCACTATTATAATTTTCTTAAATGTCATTTTTGAAGACGATTAAACCCACCCCAGTCCAAAACACTTTTAATAATTATTAATCAGTGGATTAGGTCATGAAGGACTGCACACAGTGATGTAGCTTTCAGTGCAGAAAACCCATTTGCTTCTCTACATCAAAACAATCTGACTGTGCAGGTGCAGAAAACTTGGGATATTTTTAGGGGAAGTTCTGTTGATTGGGCAAAAAAAACCTTTGGCATGGGTGCAACTGTGCCTGTGGCAATATCATTTTAGTAGGCTGGCAGTCAAAACAGGAAACACGAAACTGGGATCTATCGAGAGCACAGAACAGCTCTGAGTGCCTTTGCAATGGAATTATGGTTGAAATTATTTTTCTCTCTTTTTGTTTTTAGCTATTTTATTGTCATTACACTGTCACCAGTACAGAGCAACGAAATTCCGACTCTGCATTTAACCCATCCTCTAGGGGAGCAGTGGGCTGCCATTGAGTGGCACTCAGAGAGCAGTGTGGGGTTAAGGATCTATGCTCAGGGACAGTCTGTGGGAGTAGGGCTAGAACATAGAGGCTCAGGATTCCGAGCGCAATGCCCTAACCAATAGGCCGTCACTCCCCCATTTAAGATAAAAAAACATTTTTGTGTATCTATGCTCTATCCAGAACTCCTAAAGTTGAAAAGTTAATTTTTTCCTGGTTTAGTTCTGTAAAAAAATGTTCTTTAAGGTTAACTGGTATAGTGAATGTTACATAGGGCTGCAACTAACAATTATTTTTCCAATCGATTTTTACAAAACTAAACCAGGTTTGTGCTTTATTCATGTATTTATTACAATGTATTAATCAAACCCATCAAAGTCATCATCCTCTGTTTCTGAATTAAACAGCTGCGCTAAATCAGACATGCCAATTTCCCCTTCTTCACTGTCAGAGTCACTTTCCGTGCAGCGCGGCTCCTCAGAAATAATGCCGGCTTTTGCCTGCCTTCCACTTATCCTGAAACTGTGGTCTCCGTCTGTCATCCATCGCTCCCACGCCGCTCGCAGCCTTACTTTGAACGGCCGGTTCACACCGATGTCGAGCGGTTGAAGTTCCTTTGTCAGACCCCCGGGATAACGGCGAGCACAGCGTTAATTTGATTCACCTTTTTTTCACATCGGCTGTGAGATGGGCACGCAGCGATGGTGATGCGTGGAAAAAACCACCTGGTCTCCTCACATACACCTGCCTCAGCCACGCTTTCATCATCTTCTCATCCATCCAGCCTTTTTCATTTGCGTTAATATCATATGTCATCAGAGTGCTGTGTCTGTCTCGCTGTCAGCTCCCAGATCAGCTTCTCTGATTGGTTGATGCGGTGCGTCCAGCAGCAAAACTTAAATTTTTCCATCTCGAGCTGCAGCAGCGCGTTGGCGGTGCGTCAGATGCTTAAACGCTTTCGACGCGCTGCGCCTGCTGCTCAAAACGCGCTGAGGGACCTTTTGCTGAACCTATACGCGCGTCAACCATTGACTTTGCATGTAAACTCGCTGCTTCTGCTGCACCTGCTGGGTCCGGTTCACACCGATGTCGAGCGGTTGAACAGCGAGCACAGCCTTAATTTGTTTCCCCATGTTTTTCACATCAGCTGTGAGATGGGCACGCATGGAGTTACATATTAACAGCGATGGTGATGAGTGGAAAAAAAAACACCTGGTCTCCTTACATTCAGCCACTCTTTCATCATCTCCTCAATGAGGTGGTCTCAAAAGTCGCAGTTACAACACACATAGGGCGCACCGCACCATAGGGCGCACCGCACATTTTGAGGGGAAAAAAAGACGTTTAAGTGCGCCTTATAGTCGTGAAAATACGGTATTTCAATAATCGATTAATTTTATTAATCCAATGAATTGTTCCAAATCTAGTGCTACACCTAAAAACAGGTCCTGCTATGACTGAATGATTAAAATGGATAAAAGGGCATGATTCGTGCATGATAAAAGACATAAATGTGAACTATTAGAACTCCGCATCAAACTAAATTCTTCAAATTATTCTGGCTCATTTTTGAAACCCATGACCTGATATGTTACCATTTTTATTCTGAGAAAATCTCCATTTACCATGACAACAAAAACAAACAAACAAGCTTCTGATCCTGATTATGACCTATGAAATAGATTTGGTATAAAAAGTAACAGCGACTATCAGATAACTACCCAACCCTGCCTAGCAGGGACCTGTGTGCGTCTTTATTCACCTGATGAGACTCTTGAAGCAGCAGTATAAGCTCCATCCGTACAGAAGCAAGTCCTCCACCATGGGAGCCATGTAAGCTGCAGTAGCTCAGAAACATCCTCAGTAAAGGCTGGTTGCTCTGGAGCCAAAGTCTCCTGCTCCTTTGGCTGTCTCCAGGGGGGCTGCCGGGCTGAAAAATATTTTTGCTTTTGAAATTTTGTGAAGAAACTCTTTAGCATTCTGTATAGAAAAACAGGTCACTCTGACCCGTTTGCTATCATTTGTTTATAAACTATACATGATAATTATTTCTGTTCAATATATCTATTGATTTTTCTTTGTGAATGTGTGACTTGTACAAGCTAACTGAGATAAAACAATCAATAGTTGGAATAAAAAAGAAAATTGTGTTGGTGAAAAGACATTGAGCTGTTTTTTTTCTTTTCTATATCCATTATCACCCCAAGGAGCCAGCAATCAACACCAACCTGCTCCTCCTCCACCAGTCCAGAAACAGGGCCATCCCCCGGGACAGACTGTTCTGGTAAGCATGGCCTATAGCTGCAAACACGCTGGTGAGCCACCACCTGCAGTGGAGTTTATAATAGGACATTTTTTTTTCTGAAATTCAACTCATCAAGAGAGTGGTTATTGTTTATGCATGACAGACAAAAACCATTAAACCAAAACCTCAAACTGTTGTTTACATGAGAGAAAAGCACTGGTGAGGATTATATGAGCTGACAGAGATGAAATACTGAAACAATAACATCAACAGAGGAGGAACTGAGCGGGGGTTATCCAATGCCAAAGTTTAACTGAGTTAACTTAAATATGAAATGTTTATCAGGAATACTTGAAGTGAAAAAAGCTGAAAATGAATGAATTTAGAAGTTTCTGTTTGTACCTCTCTTTCCAACCACTGACAGAGCTGATAACGCAGCTTCCCTCCATCCAGTTCGTACCCAGTAGACAGAGTCCGAAGCTCGTTGCTCATGATCTTCAAGCAGGCGGTGAACTTAAGATGGGCCAAAAAGATGTCCTCAGACGGAGCGATGAAATCATTGCCCTCTTCGCTTTCCTCACTTTTCACAGTTTCTGCTATCGTCAACACGGAGTCCTGACGGTCCTGAAACACGCTGTTGTCTGCTTTTCTACGCTTTTCCTGATTTGTCTCTTCCTCCTCATCCTCACAGTCTTTGTCACTGTCCCACTTCAGCTCCAGGGGCTCATCTGGAAGGGTCACCGATGGCTGGCTCCAGTCAAAACTTAACACTGAATCGGACCGGCTGTTGCTGTTCCCATCAGAGTGGTAGCCGTTCAGGCCAGGCGGAGACCAGTCAGGTTCCGACGACAACCCATTCCTGCTGCCCACACTTAGTTCATGTGGAATGCTTTTAAGCACAGGATGAGAAACTTTGGAGTGCTTGTGAACTTTGGGCATCTTGGAAAGGACCTCTAGTGCTAACATGGGGCACCCAGCGTGCAGGTGTGCATATGCAGTAGTGAAAAACAGTCTCCTCTCATCCAGGCTGATCAAGTCAGCTCTACGGATCTCTGTGGTCAGAGCCACTTTAGCTTTGTCAGAAGAGCTAAAATGGCGACGAAGGAGCAGAGGGTGTGTCCGGAGGTAGATGTAAAAGTTGAAAACCTCAGGGTTACAAGCAGACATGGCAGAGGGACCTGAAAAAGATGCAAGAGACACAAAAAGAAACAGAAAACCAGAAGTTACTCAGTTATTAGTACAAACTCTGAAAAGATGAGCTGTTAACACTCCCTGTAAAGAATTCACACCCTTCAAGTTTTTATCATCTTTGCATTTTTCCACATAACACCCCTGAAACTTATGTGATTTTTGGAATTGGAAGGACAATAACCTCAACCTTTTATATACTTCTTTGCATATTTAAAAATAGGCATTTCTGACCATTTTTCATTAAGTAAAAAAATAATCACCTCAGTTAATCTAAACAAAGAGAACATAAGGAAAGAATAAAAAAAAAAATGACGCAAAGAAATGTTCATAGACTCAGTGGACTTTAACTAGGCAATTCCAGCACAAACACACCTCCATCTGGAACAGGTTTGTCCAGCTTTGTCCTATAGTTAGAAAAATCATACATTGTGATTTTTGGATTTGTTTTATCAGATTGTGTACGACGGAGTATTAGGGCCACACATGAAGAGAAAAAATATTTTTGCCATGACGAGATTAAAGTCGACATGTCGACATTAAACTCAACATTTCGAGAATAAAGTTGAAATGTCATGTTGAGTTTAATCTCGATGTGTCGACTTTAAACTCGCCATTTCGAGAATAAAGTTGAAATGTCATGTTGAGTTTAATCTCGATGTGTCGACTTTAAACTCGCCATTTCGAGAATAAAGTTGAAATGTCATGTTGAGTTTAATCTCGACGTGTCGACTTTAAACTCGCCATTTCGAGAATAAAGTTGATATATCGTGGCGACTTTAATCTCGACATTCCAAAGTTTGGAGAAAAGAGCAACCGCGCTCCACAGCTGCAGTCTGCGTTTGGAGAAAAGAGCACAGGCGTCGCGCACGCCTGTACTCCACCCCTTCAGGATCAAGCAACTTGATCAATTGTCTTATTGTATTTTGCGATACAACATAACCTCTCTGTATTGCACGCAGATGTAACCATCGATATCCTTGCATCTGCCCATTTCCAGCAATTTCAGTATGCAAGAATGCGGCCATTTCTTCCAAGTTTGTATGATTTTTCCTTCTGAACAGATGATGTTTTCGCCACAACCTTTTTAGCGTCCTTACACTAATAATCACACTGTGGTTCTGGGCTAAAAGACTGAGGATTTCCTTATTGCTAAACCCGATTCTAAAGTACAATTTGACCAAATCATCTACACAAGGCATGTCTGATTCTGGATTCTGTGCATGTATCCTGTGCAGCGGTTGGCTCTCTTGAACTAATTTCAACTTTATTGTCGACACGTCGAGATTAAACTCAACATGACATCTCAACTTTATTCTCGAAATGGCGAGTTTAAAGTCGACAGGGCGAGTTTAAAGTCGACACGTCAAGATTAAACTCAACAGGACATTTCAACTTTATTCTCGAAATGTTGAGTTTAATGTCGACATGTCGAGTTTAATCTCGTCATGGCAAAAATATTTTTTCTCTTCATGTGTGGCCCTAATACTCCGTCGTAGATTATGTCTCTCAGAGTGGACATGAAAATAAGATGAAAATTTCCAACCCTTCCATGATTTCTAAGTGGGAGAACTTGAAAATAAGCAGGGTATTCATACTTACATTCATCACTGTACAAGTAGCTATTTACCGGAAGCCAGAGAGTTCAGTGTGCTTAGCATTACTGCTGTTTATCTTTGCAAAATGACAATTAAGTCTAAAAAGTTCTGTTTTCATCTTATCAGAGAAAATGTCATAAAATAAATATGTATTCCCCATTTAAACTGGATTTCTTATGACTTTCTTTATGTGTCACCTGCCTTTTCAATCCATCTGATTAATATTTTCCAGGCGTTGGGTATTATAGCAAATATCAATTTTATTTGAGAATATCAAAGTAAAATGGGGCGGAATGCAAATTATTGCCTTTCATTTAATTTCTTTCTGTACCACATATGATTTTGGTCCGATTATATAATAAAATGCATTAGGAGTATTTAAACACCAAATTAAATGCACTAAAGTTTATTGTTATGACAAGAGAAAGCTTGAAAAAGTTTAAGGGTTGTGATTACTTTGCAAGTCACTGTAACAGGATGAGAGACTCTACCTCTGTTGGGATTCTAGAAATATGCAGCAGAAGTAGCTCACTGAAAAACTGTACTTTGTGGCTACTGAAATGTGAAGAGAAGAAAAGAGGAAGAAGCTAAAAAGGAAAGGGAATGCCTCGAGGGCAGGAAGGTGAAAAATCAAGTTCACTCTTTTATGTAAATTTCTATAGAAAAAGAAATCAAAGGGCTAACAGCTTGAATCGCAGCCTGAGCAAAGAGAAAAAGACTAACTTTAAAGATCCAGAGGGGTTTACGTTTTTGTAGGCATACCATGAGTGGTTTGAGGAAATAATGTATAAAACACACAATAACAGATGTTGGCTTTAAAATCCAAAAATAATCCAATAAGGGTTCATACCAAGTTCAGGTCTTCATCTATTATTGAAAGTTCGATTTTTGTCAGCAGGGTTCAATTTGGTAATTTCCTTTTTAGCAGATTATAACACTCAAAATACATTTACGACAAAACATTTATTTTCAAAGTTGCTTTATTACCACAATTAACCTGATTAACTCATTTAAGAAAAAGTTGCAAAGCCGAAAGCCAAACATTATATAACAAAGAAGACTGACTGAACCTCCAACTGTTGTTGTGTCCTGAATGTAGGAGTGTTTGTCCCAGATCTTGAGAAGTCTTCTACGAATATATTTAGCTGCAGATGTCCCAGCACAATATATAATTAAAATAGTAATATGTTCCAAAACTGAGCATCTTAAGAAAATTAGGAAATAAACGACATTTCCTCAGCAGGTTATCAGTTTTAAAATGTCATGTTTAACTCACTCAACAAAGACGTTCAAGACGTATTACACTTTTTTTGACTGACATTTCCTTCAAACAAAAAGATCTACAGGGCAGCGTAATGCGTATGAATACAAATCTAATTTGGCATGTTAAAATGTTTACGGTCTGTTTACACTTGGCTTTTAAATACATTTGACTCAAAGCATCTTTTTATGTAGTTTTAGCTATTTGTGTGCAGAGAAGAACCTCCAGAAAAATCTTTAACATAAACACAGGTATGATGAGTTATGACAGGAACCAGGATAAAGAGCACATAAAAAAAAAGCCTGTATTGAGATCCAGTACTTGAGATCAGAAATAAATTATTTTCTCAAAGCAAGCTAGACATAAGTTTTTAAGAAAAAGCACAAAGTTTTTCCTCTGTAGAGTAAGAGGTTAAAAAAATGTGACCATCTTAATGAAGCAAAACAGATTGGATGTTATTAACACAGTTAGTTTGTAAAAGAGCAAATAACTCGATGGCAGTAGAGAATACTCTCAGGAAACACTAAACATACCACTGTCAGATTTGCTCTCAGAGGGTCCACAGCTTTTGCAGTTTGCAGGCTGCTCAATTAGTGTGTCCAATGCCCCGCTGTAATCCTCTAGGACCCAGTAAGCTATGCTTCGCAAGAACGGATCTGGATGAACTGGAATCTGAAATGCATAGAAAAGAGCAGTCTGTGGGTGGCATCATCAAATATTGGGTGGGAAAAACTTAGCTTCTTGTGGGTACTTCTCATGCAAATACACAAACTATTTTACCTGTTTGTCTTGTCCCAAAACATGTCTCTGGAGGATCTTTTTATAGGTCGAGGATGTCTCAAACTCAGATTCATACAATCTAGCGATCACCAGGGCAAGCTGCAAATCCTGCATTTTCTCCAAACACACCTAAAGAAGCAAAGGTAATCTTTCAGTCAGTCACTACATTTATTCATCGTTTTCTACTCATGTGATAAACTAAATTAAATAAAACCCTGTGCTAGCAGAAAACATCTCGGAACCTAAGTACTGACATAGAGAGGTGCATTTCAATGAGACGACCTCCTCCCAGTCAGGGAGAATGAGCAAAGTCAATGATAGCCCTTTGCCTGGGTGAAGCTCATTTCCATAAAATGCTTAGAGAGGTAGTGGTTACTCATGCACATATAACAAAGTGACTCACTGCTTAAGGGACTATCCGAACAGGAATAACCTTGATAAGTAAAAGCTTAAATAATCCAGATGGCCTGTGTTAGCCCTCCTGATAGTAACAGTTGCACGCTGATAGACAGCAGTTTTAGGCACCAAGCAATGTATGCAGCCAGTAACAAAACAGTTTTTTTTAGATTCAAGAAAGCAGTCAGCCTGAAAAATAACTCATAACTACAGCCTGGAGCATAGAGTCTGCTTTAACAGTCAGAATTTACAACGCAGCTTTTATTTACATTTTTTTTTTTTATAGTTCCAATTTCTGAATTAATTTTTTTGTACATTGTTAAAGCATAAATAGAAGGCATTTAAAAACAATGACTTCATATATTTATACAGAGGGTTTCAACTGGGAACCTATAGAAACCATACATAGTTAAAACTAAAAAAAGGTGACAAATGAAAGACTGATGAACAGATGGGCTGAGTACTGAATTGTTAAAAAAAATAAACACACACTAATTAGAAACATAAATGATATGAAATCAGCATTTTTTGCACTTTTAAATACGTCAATAAACAAAAACATTAAAAAAATTAACTAACAGAAGGAACTGAAAATTAAGAGAGGACCTCTTCACTCTTGCTGAAAACCATCAATCTAATTTAAACTTAAAAGAGCTGTCAAAAACAGCAGAGGTAAAACAACAAATCCTTCTTATAAATATTTTGTCATGTCTTTCTTTTTTCACTTGCCTCCACAGCATCCTTAAGGGAACCAGCAAGGAGAAAAAAGGCTGCAGAATGCTGGAACCGCTGCTTTCCCAACAAAGAGAAGGCATTCTTTAATGCGGCTTTCCTCCACCTGTCCTCGCTGAAGTTGTTATGGAAGAACTCTGTCATTTTTGTATTCTTCTGAGATCTGGAGAGAACGACATTTAAAAAGCATCACTGTCACTTATCCTAAGCAACTTGACACAACTACGCTTCTATAAGAACAATGTGCAAAATGATGTCAGCCCTGCCTACCTGTACAGCCCCCAAACCACTGCCTTCTTTTTCATTGCCAGATAAAATATAGCAGCATCCAGAGGATCATTGTTTCTCTGAAATGAAGCTTTAGCAACCTGGAAAACCGAGAGGACCAAAGCTTGATTTAGCAAATAATGCCTCCAATTCAACATATAGAACCTTAAAGGATTATATTCAGCAGTTTCTTCATAAGAAGATCATTAAGATCATTTATTTTATTCCATGTCTTGTAGAAGTCAAGTCTAAAAAATATTCAGCTACTTTCATAAAAAACTGGCCTAATCTTAAACTCGCTTAGTATAAACAGTACTGACAAAGTAAGATGACTTTTAAAAAAGAATCCCACAGCTTTTAACAGTGTAAAAAAACAAAACAAAAATGATTTTATTATTTCTATTTTAAGCAAAGTATTGGCGCTTTTTCTACAGCTACTAAAATATTCTAATAAAAGAGCAGTTAACCAAGTCTTCAAAAATTCTCTGGGATTTAACGACATTATTTTAAGCAACATTTTAGAATAAACAAAGGGTAGTTTTCAAGTAAAAATACTTATAGCAGAAAATCTCTTTTTAACCTTTTTTTTTATTCGTGGGTTTTTGAAGACAAGATATTCTTGCTACCTAGTTGGGTTTCCCCACATTTGTGTCTTAAAACCAGCAATATGTACAGATAAAACTTTCTTTCCTATAAGGAAAAAAGATGATGAACCTTCTTTCAACCTGCTTACCAGGAGGGTGAAGCAACAGAGGGGGGAGAGGCAATCCTGGATCCCTCCATGCTTCACAGTTGTACAAAACATGAATAACTGGCGCTCCTTTTCTGGCATCTCATCAAAAACTGGTCCAAGATTTATATTCAGAGAAAGGCTGACAATGATAAATAAATGACAATGTCTGTTTTTACCTTTTCAATGCACCTGCGCAGTTTGTTGGTGCTCCGCAGCCACCAGCCCACACCCATGGCCCGCAGCTCGGCCCAGGTGGGCTCTCCCTTCTGCAGGGCGGGCAGCATGTTCAGCAGCTCCTCCTCAGCTTCTGAGTGGAAGGCCCAAGAGTACTGGCATGTTGAAAGGCCTAGAGATAGCAGAAAAAGATTAATTTAAATAGGTAAAAGCCAATAAAGAAAATTTAACTGTACAAGTGGTAACAGGTTCCTCTGACAGCTGAAGTGTTGAGAGTCTAATGAAGGCTTTATAGGTTGCTCAAAGGAAACTTTACAGCAGTAGTTAAGGATGATGAATAGATGCTGGCTTGTTCACTTCTTTTTAAGAGATCTGCAGTCAAACGATTATACTTAAAGCTGAAGTCTGTAAGTTTTAAAAAATCACTTTTTTGTCATATTGGCTAAAACTGTCCCTATGCCCAGACAGCAGTACATGTGATATGTAACCTGTGAAAAAAACTGCTTCAATTGGTCCCGCATACTGCCTGTATTTCAATCTGGAAAGAATAATTCGGGACGAGTCAAAACAACCAATCACAGCCAGAGGAGCATCTGATGGAGTGTCAATCATAGCTCACACACGCTGAATCCCGCCCCCCCCCCCGCCCCCCCCCTTCTGGTCGTATGTGGTAGCCGCGCAGATGCTGTGAGAGGGGTGGAGCTTGGAGGTGGGGCATGAGTGAAGCAGAGAGGGTGGGGGAGTGGAGTGAAACCTGTTTTTCTTCAAATTTTCAGTTGAAGTCTGCTCTCTCCTCAATGTTACAGACTGCAGCTTTAAGATCATCATAGCATTCTCCGTCTTGCTTTAGGGATCCTTGGAGTTATTGCTCTGACACTTTAGAAAGCAAGTGAGCCAAAATTGAACAGGTGGAGAGACCAGCAATGCGGTAGAACCTGAAGTGATTATTTTAAGACGCCAACAAATGTATGACTTCTCATAGAGACACTTCGCATTCATTCAAATATCAGATCAGATATGGACTCAAATATTTAGATTCAGAGGCAATTATTAGCTGTACTTCTTTTTAGAAATGTCAGTTTGCATTGAGTGTAAACCCTATAACCTGCGTTTAGCAGGCGGGGCCTGTTAGTCACAACAGTGTGAATGGTATGTCTGAAATACATTGTCTCTTTCTAGATGTAAACATCTAAAAAGGTGAAAGTTAGGTTAAATTGGTACATTAAGTATAACCGAGGAAAGAGCTCGACAAGTAGCTTTACCAGACCACAGCAAGGAAAACTGGATAAAAGTCAGGTTCTTTGTGTCATCCTTCCTTCATTTAACACATACAGGATATTTGAGAATAAGAAATATTTGAACCCAATCGGAAAAACTTATGAAGCTAAAGACTTTAGATCAAGGGTCACCGACCTTTTTAAGGCTGAGGGATACTTCAAGGATACAGAGTCATATACCAATAGTGACCTATGAACTGGAGGAATCAATGTTCACCTAAACTACAAACACAATAAGCATATTTTAATTGTTTCTTTTAACAGATTTTCTTAATATTATCATTTTGAAATCTCTATAAATGCTTAAATTCTCTGTATGATTAAAAAGATTAAATGCTCTATAAGTGATTAAAAAAGAAGGGCAACACAATTAAATAAATTTAAATCTCAGCCGACTGGTGTGTTGTGCTGTTTTCAGAAGATGCACCCCATGAGGCCCCTGGGGGTCCCTTGGTGCCCGTGGGTACCACGTTGGTGACCCCCGCTTTAGATCCTAATTCCACCCTATTTTGAGGTGGTCAGTTGGTTCATGTTATCACATTTTTTATTATTATTATTATTAAACATATATTAATGGCTTTTTCTTCTGTGTTTCTTAAGCTAATATTTTTTTTCATGACAAACTAGAAAAGCAATTAAATTTTGCCCCATACTGTGACATACATCTCAAGCTAAAACTCACACATGACTTGGATTATTACCAAATGTTTAATGACTTATTACTTCAAGATGTGCACCTCTGGCAAAAAAAAAACTTCCTTAAAACCCATTCACAAGTTTTCAAGTAGTCCTACTAAAAAAAACAACAACCATGAAAACAACTTCCTTGGGGGAGGTAAATCAACCAATAAAAGCATGATTCGTAGGAAAATAGAATCTAAGGCTTAAGGATTTTGCCAAATCTTTAAAATAACAATTTTTTTTATTTTCCTTTGCAGTAATCACAAAACTGCAGTTGCAGCACCTCAGGGTTTCCGCTTACTTCGAGGCTTAATCCCAAACTGGCCCCTAAGCAAAAACCCTTTGCACTAACCCTTCGTTTGGCTGTTCATTTAATTCCAAAAGGGAAGGTCCTCTTCTAAATAGTTTTATTTGACTGCATAACATTTGTTCTAAGAAAGGGGCCAATTTTTAATTTCACGTCAACCTGCGCCACAGATCTACAGCCATGCACAGGGGGCAGCACTGTTGCTTTTCTTTTCCATTGGAGGGAAGAGGTCCCATTCTCATTTATACCCCCCCATCTCAATAAAGGTGCCCTCCACAGCTTCAAGTGTGACTCCATTGGGAGTGACACTGCATATTTAAGGGGTAGTGCTTAGGGGGCGGTTTGGGATTCAACTATACTCTCAGGCACAGATCTGTGCTAGCTGCAACACTCTCTTTCTTTTTGTTTGGCGGTAACCTACTTTTAGGAGCATTAGTACCATCTAATGAGTTCACTGCAGTTTGTTGTTGGTGCTTATGTAGCTCTTTATGGATTATACAACACAGTGGCCTGAAATAACAATGAAGCTTCAAACAAAAACATCCTGGATTGAAAATTTGCCAGATTTATTGATTCAACAAATCTTCAGGTTCTAAATGAATCCAACAGAGATCCTCTGAAAATGACTACTGTACCTTGGCGTAACAGCTGGGCTCGATGGACAGGAGGCAGGGATGTTAGGAGGAAGGTGTGAAGTCTGACAGCCAGCAAGAACTTCAACCCACACTCATCCAAAGTTTCTCCACCTGCCACATTTATCACAAACATTTCTTCAACATCTAAATATCACATTATAATGTAAATGAAGAACTAATTTAGTAAACTCTGTCATTTGGAGCATATCAAATAATGCTCATATGTTCTGTCTTTACCTTTGCTCTTATTCTGGTTATCTTTTAGGTCTGTGCTCGTCGTGGCAATGGTGTCAGCCAGTGCCATGAGAGACATCTGCTCCATTCGAGTTAACCCTGGCAGGCTGGAGTGGAGGAGGTGGCTGGACAAAACCTGAGCGTGTTCTGGGCCAAAGTATGTTGGACTGTACTGGGAAAGGTCTATAACCTACAAATATGGGAAAAACAATGGCCAAAATCAAACTTTTTTGATAAAAGCAGTGATATCGTATAGTATAATATTTTTTTTATCTGTTAGCTAGGATGTTTTTTTGTATGCACATTTCTAGATCAATGCATCTAGAAACTAACTGTTGCTTAAAGCATGGAACAGAAGGCCAACCTTATTCCCAGTTTCTTCTTCTTCATTGTCCAGAGGGTCCAGATCCAGGGTGTTATGGGTATGAAACAGCTCATCATAGGCATCGGTCTGACTGGAGCCATGTCCGCTATCACCACTCATACTGCCTCCTTTCTCTGTTAAGGGACACAGAAATCGGTCAGACAAGACAAGCAAAGCACCTGAAACAGCAGAGTGCTGCAGAGAACAGAAGCATCACAGGGCAGTATTCATAATACCAAAAACATTGCCAAGCTTTTATAATGTTTGCCTTGCATTTTCAGACAAACAGGAAGGAAGAGTGGTAAATAAGAAAAGCAGTCTGTTTCTTTGAATCTCCCACATTGAGATTAGCCTGCAATGGTGCCTATTCTTCATCTAGAGACAAAGTAAGAAAGCTCCATTCTTCCTCTACACATACATAAAAAAAAGAAGTCCTTTAGAAAGTGTTTTTTTTTTTGTTTTTTTTTTAAAAAAGCTTTCACATGATGCATGGGTAGAATCACTACATATTAACTTAAATTCACTTAAATTATAGTTTGATTTGTCTATCTAAAAGCTTTCTGAAGGGGAAATTATAGTAAAAATTCAATACATTCAGAACAAAAATATCACAGAATTATATTTATTCTACTCACAAAACTTACATAAAATCCAAAAATATATCTAAAAGAAATCAACAGGGGAAGGTCTTTGAATGTCTTCTAATCATAATGAGATTTATTGCCAAGTAGGTTTGCACTTACAAGGAATTTGCCTTCGTGTTGATGGTGCCGACAATTATATATATAGCCTCAGGAGGGAGAGAGGCAGTGACAGTGTCACGGGGGTCTCTGAGCCTTGTTGATAAGGCTGGGAACAAAAGAGAGTGCACCAACACACTGAGGCAGAAATCTGCCCTCATAGATGTTAAAGCCCAACACATCCAGAGTTCAACCTATGAGACATCTTCCCAGTAAAGAGTCACCTCTCTAACCAGACCGAATCCTGTGACCTGTGGTTCTGAAGATCTGGCACCATAGCCTACACTGCAAAAAATCCTTCTAAAATAAGTAAAATAATCTCTTGAAATAAAGCATATTTGCCCTACATGTAAGGCTGTACGTAGAATAATCTGCCAATGGAATCAGTATTTTGGTCACTAAAATAAGACAATTACATAAAATGCACTTGAAAAGTTTTATTTCTCTTGGTTAGTAAGAGACACTTCTACTTGCTTCTTCTTTGTTTTGTTTTGGCTTGACTCTATGAAATGTAACTGAGACAAAGCCATTTCTCATTTCCTACAAAGATGCAAAGATCTGGCTATGCCTAAGCTCCATGTACATGATTTCAACCTACTATTCCTAATGGTGCAGGATCTTTCTGTGTCACTGGTATAGTATCAAGAAGTAAATATTTATATAATTTAGACCCATCAAAATTGGATTAAAAAAGTTGTAGGTTCGACTAAGGGTGTAAATAATAATCTTTTTGTATCGATGCATCGATCCAAAAGTCGACGATCCGATGCATCGATACGTCCGCAAGATAATCGATTCATGTTTTTTTTTTTTTCTTCCTCCGGTCTATTTTTATCCATTTGCTCCTGGGCGTAATTCTCCCTCCTGTGCTGCAGTGGCGCTAAATCTATTTTGCCCTCCTACCGCGCTTCATGGTTATACTCTTAGAGCAGTGTGTTGCAGTAAGCTTGACACAGACATTTTTAAATTATGCTCAGTATTGAAGCGTGGTCTGTGCTACACACTGTGGGTCTAGATACGGCCGAGGCGGCGAGGAAGTGGGGGAGAGTTTAGTCCGACGACGGAGGGACATGAGGGCCAAAAAGAGCGGAGATCCAGGTGGAAAAAGGGTCCCATCGTTCTTGCGCACCTCGCTCTTCTAGCGGGTCAAACTTCACGAGTTCTTTTCCGCAATTTCGGTCATAAAAACAAAACAAGCTGGCCTCTTGTCTGCGGCACTGTCTGCAGTCAGCTACAATTTGGGAGAGCTGCAGCGGAGCGTCTCTCCAGGGGGCGGGGACGTCTGGAGCCGAGGTATTGCATTGAACTCATTGCACTGATTTTGCGCAGTATTTTTGCAGTATTTTTTGATGCAACTTCTGTTATTGCTGTTGTTTCTAAAAAAAAAAAAATGCATAACGATATGACAGCTTTCATTGATTTATCTCAAACTTGAAACTTTGTTAAGCCTGTTTGTGTAAAAAAAAAAATAATAATAAAAAAAATTAACCGATGAATCGAATCGAGGTGTATTCTAGAGTATCGAAAATAATCGAATCATTGGGTCAGGAAATCGATACTGAATCGAATCGCCATGATGGATGTGATTTACACCCCTAGGTTTGACTTTCAAGTACAAATATGTGATTCCACTGGCATATCATTTTACCTACCTAGTAAAATTGAGTGTAAATACACTTATTTAAAGAAAAGTTTACTCAAATTTAGTTTTCTTTTTGCAGCGTAGTAGAGAAGTTCTATAAAACATTTGTTGATTCAGCCTTCAGGTTGCTTTCATCTTGCCAAAGAGGAGTGGGTGTTTGGATGTTTCTAAATTTTTAACAATCAAACAACTATTTGGCTGAAAGATTAAAGCTTTAGATGAACAAAAAACAACAGAATTTTAAACAAGTGGATCAAACTTGAGTTGTTGGTCCTGCTTGCAATGCCTGGTCGGTGAATCAGTGCCGTCTCTAAGGAGCTGTCCATTTCTCCACTAACTAGTAGGCATTTTTTTAGACATTTTTTCGGCATGTGTAATTTAATAACTACAGGGGGAAAATTGATTCTTTTTTTTTTTTCAAAGCCTTTTTTTTATTTTTTAAAAACTTTTTCAGAGCAACAGTGTCTAGAGATAGACGAAAAGAACTTCAGTGCCTGAAGCCAGTGTCTTCCTTTGAGGTCTGAGACCTGCTGTGAGACACTAAGCAGAGGAAAAACATGAAGGTTGACTCTGACGTGAATTCAGATGTGTTTATATTTTACTAAATATTTTTAAAATTTTAGAAAACTAGCTCCATCCCAATTTCGGTCAGCATCACAGGCAGTTCAATGAAAGAAGACCTTTAAAAAGCCGGTAAAATGTTTACATCTTTGCAGGAATAAGTATGTTTTAATGTACTCTAGTTATAAATAGAAAGCCGTTTTCACTTCCTGGGAAATATCCAAATAAGTAGCTAAAAACTTAAAAGTACCAGAATAATAAATCAAATATTTGGGTTAGAGCAAAACTGCCCTTAGAGAGACATTTCTTATACTTTATTAGAGCAAAATTGCTTTGAAATAATTCAGTGAATATTTTAACTCAAATGGTTTTAAAACCAGACTGAAAAACTTCTTGACTTTGCAAAGATCCAGCTGAATGTTTTATGTCCAATGTAGATAATTTTGAAGAACCGCAATGCTGTAAACTCACCAAGATGTGGCGTATCCTCATCAGCTGCCAGCAAAGCGTACAAAGGCAGGGGAGGGACGGAGCTGATCTCTGTGTAGTCAGGGCTGGAGCTTTCTGATTTGCTGAATATCTTCTGGTCCCTGGCTGTGCTGCCTCCTACACTGATAGTCCGAGAGCGCACACGTTTCTCCGGATGGGTGGCATTGTCCTTAAGTATCACAATTTCCCCAGCGATGCATTTTACTAAGTGTGAGAGGATTGCTTTGGCACGGTGAACCTTAGGACAGACAGATTATGTTACAAACATTTATCTAAACATTTTTATGAGTCACTTTACAAAATAAACATTTACAAGAAAGGCATGTCCTCTCTCCTTGGCCACAAAACCCATCTAAAAAAAATTTTTTTTTTTGACAGTAAAGTGAATTAGTACAAGGTTTATAGAATGATAAAACAGATTTGAGTGTAATTCAGTTCTGTGCAGTTTGAGAGTTTCTGCTGACAGAAATGAAGCAAAAATCTACATTGAAATAACAGCTGTTCTCTGCACAAACCTCTTGAGCTACAAGAGCAAATTTTGGCAACTTCTTTATACCTCAATGATTTCAAAATAGTCAATCAGAAGAGAAGTAGGCCTACTCTAACAGTGGTTGCTTCTACTATGGTGAAACAGTCTGGGTCAGTTTCTTGGGGCAACGTCCTTCAAAACACATCTTTGCAATCTGCACATTTCCAACAGAAGTTGAACATTAAGAAAACATATTGCCAGTCGCATATAGAAGATTTTCTCATAATAATGACAAAATTTTCTGATTAATTTTTTAAGACCATAAAGGCCATAAAGAAAGAGGTGGTTAAATCAGTTTTATAACCTCCATCTCCTTATGACCCTATTGCCCGATCCACAATGAATAGATTTGCTGTAATCGAAAAAGTATTTTGTTGTTTATTTTATTTTGTGGAAACTGTGTAACCAAACAGATCTGGAGTTTTGGGAAAACTTAAACAATAAAAAAAACTAGGTCCCAAAGGTAAAAATCAGATAATGCTGGTTTTATATTTTTGTGTGTACATGTAAGCAACATGTTTGTTTTTTTATCTTAACATGTTTCTCATGACTGAAATTAATGCTTCTGCCTTAGATGCTGGTTAGCATTTAAAGCAATGGTTTGATTGGTAAGGACATACATTTTTTTCCTAATTTGAAAAAGGATAAAATATATTCCAACATGCCAATGTGCATTAAAGTGGAAGTGAAAACTCCTTTACATTTACCGTTACATTTAATCTCCAACTTCTTGTTTTAATATATTTTTATATTCAAATCTCTCAGTAGTTTTATGCTCAACTTTAGAAGAGCTCCTTTGAACACATCACCATGTGTAACAATTAGACTTTAACATAAACAGAGGTTTATATAAAATAGAAAAGGAGCAGATTGCGCCTGTAATTCTCAAAGGTAGTGTCTGGGACGTTTCTACACTGCAGCAACAGAGATAACCAAGAAATCCTAATTAACTAAAATTGCAAATCAATTTAAAAAACCAAACCAGAGAAATTTCTCTACTTTGTTTTTACCTTGCCCAGATCCATGAGCTCCAGTAACTGTACTGGATGGTATTGGGGCAGAGTAGGAAAGAGTTGGTGAGCTGCTTCAAAAAGTCCAGAGTCTTCCATCTCCACAGGAAGGTCATAGACGGTTTTCTTCCCACTAAGTTTCTGCGCCAGGCTCATCATTGATCTTGTTAGGGATCTTTTAGGCAGGGTTAGTGACGCTGTGGGAGGACCGGTGGTGAAAACGTCCTCCTGTCTGACAGCTGAGAGTATAGAGGAGACGCTGCTGCCGATGTCCGTGTCTTGGACGACGGTAACGCTGGGTTTAGGGGGAACTGGGGGTTGCCATTGGGAGTAAACATGCATCTCACAGTCCATTCCCACAACCAAGATTCCATCCCGAACCCAGGAGAGGGAGACTGGGATAGGCAAGGAGCCTTCAACGGAGGAAATCAGATTGACAGATCGAAGGAGAACCAGACGGGACAGACTTTGCTCTCTGTTTGTTTCAGAAGACAGGCCTAAATCTGGAGGCTTGCCAGAGAGACGGCCATACATATAAATCTTAGTCCCAATGCCAACAGTCAATATATGTGACCCATCTTCTTGGGAAACCCAGTCTAAATGAACCGGGCTCCTATTAGCAGAACCAGGACAGTTTCCATTAGCTGCAGAGAAGTCTGTGTTATTTGCATGATTAGCATGTCCATCAGTGGAGCCGCAGAAAGTTGAGGGTTCTGTGTTCTCCAGGACTATAGTTTGCTCCAATATCCACTGTGAACCACCAGTGGACTCACACTGAAAGGTGCTGATGTGAACTGCTGGTTCCCTTGTGATGGTTGGGTTAGGGCTGAGAGCAAAACTTGGACAAGGCTTTAAGGTAAGAGACGGGGTCAGGTAGGCGTTGTTGCAGAAAGGGGAGGATGACAAGGCTGGAGGAGAAGGTAGCAGTCTGTGAGAGCTCAGGTGGGGTGTTGAGTTGAGTGGTGGGTTGGTCGCCTGCCTGTAGGCCACAGCGATCCTTCCAGAGTGACAGCAGCTCACCTTGATGGGCTGACCGGGAATGGTAACAGCGCTGCTGTTGGGAAGCGTCTCCTCCACCAGCAGACGCCACTCTTCCCACTGATACACCAAATGGTCGACAGTGGAGGGTTCAGTTCTCAAAACGTTACACCTCCAGAACCGCACCTTTCCATCAGAACAGGAAGTGGCAAGGAGATAAGGCACAGGGCCTGACGGTAGAGAACACGATGCACTCAGATGGCCTGAAGAGAGGTGGGAAGAACTGAATTAAAACCTCTTCACATTTCAAGACAAAACCCAATCGTATTTTAGCTAACTTTTACTACAAAAGAAATTCAAATTACAACATGTTATCGCCTCATTGCCATACGGACAGAAAAAGAACAAATTTGTAGTTCTGTATCCGTCTAACTCTAAAGTCTGTGTGCTGTATATCTAGATAAATGTTTAGATTTTTTGCAAGTATCCTGACTGACCGGAAACAATGCATGGTTTAGTAACCTTGAACTTAAATCATTCTTTTTTTATATCTGGTTTGGTCCAGTTTCGGAATTTTAATTTAACACCAGTAAAAATCCGATATAAACAAAACAGACAAAAACAAAAAAAAACTATCTTTGGTTTGAAGCTTTTTGGAATCAAAATCCGTTAGATTTAATATAACATTGAAACAAGGGCATATACAAAGGAAAAGATCTATGAGCTGTACTTTAAGGCCATTTTTAACAACATTCTGTAAAGGAGGAACACTGTGCATGCTGCCTCTTTAATTGCTGTAGCATATCTTAACTTTTGGAAGTAGTAAGCATGGAGGGTTCAAGTGTCACATGCATTTAGAGCATTACATGACACCATGTCTGCTATGTTTCAAATTACTTCTTCAACATATCTGTAGATTTAATAAAAAAAAAATTTTAATCACTTTATCAATCCTTAATTGCAGTTCAAAATATGAGCTTAGGAATCCCTGAATATTGCAAGTTTAAAAAGGACTGCAGCCTTAGGGCATACAACCAGATGTTTCCAATGTATGTTGCCTTTTCTCTAGAGATAAGTGAAACCGAATAACAGCAGGTCATAATGCTATTTTTGTTTTTGTAGAAGGTATTATTTTAAAAATACCTTTCAGACTTTATAACAACAATTTGCATCAAACAGCATTAAATTTTGTAGGTTCAATTTAGTGACTTCATTGTGCTTTGTAGAGAAATGGAGGAACACAAACCTCACTGCAATGACTGAAACCTTTTGAGAGCCTAGATAATATACCATAAAAAATGTGTGACTCAGGTACAAAGTTCAACATAAAAAAAAAACGTTTTCCTTATCTCTTCTCCCTAGTCATCCTAGCTGTAACTTCTGTTTTTTTTTTTTACTCTGTTTTATTAACAACTACAATTAACAAAACTGTAGGTGGCATGGAAAAGCCACATCCACCAATAAACCAAGAAACGATGCGTCTGCAGTATGTATGATGACATAGTGAGGCTCTTCCCACCTCTCAAACTCAGAGGCACAGCTCCTTATCCGAGTTCTGGGCTTACATTTGGATATAAATGTGATCACTCATTGGTATCTAACAGTAGATAAAGAAACCAGTAAGACTGAGTGATTATTTAAAAATTACAAATAACCGAATTTGGAAGGAATAAATGCTAATAAAGAGTTATTTAAAAAGAACAAGAAATACCAATGCGCTTAACGAGATTAAATACAGTCAGAATGGCAAACTTTCATCTGTTTTTGACTCATAACTGCTAAAATAGCTTAAACTAACTTTGTAATGCACCTAGCTGCAAATAGTGTGGTATATTTCCTTTTTTTGTGAAGCATGTTTCACAGCTTGATTTTCATTGCCCCTTAAAATAAGGTCAACTCCCAATGGGGCTTGTTGACATAAAATAAGTTTTTGAAGGTGTATGTCATTTGTCTTATTTTTTGTCTATTTTTTTGTATTAGACTTATGAGAGAAAAAAAAACAAAAGAATATGATAATCTGATGTGATAGGCAAAAAAGAAAATCTGAAATTTAGATTTTTAAGACTTATCGACCAACCCTAGACACCAGTCAGGAGGTGAAGAGTACTACCTGCTTCCATGAACTCTTATACCGCATTTACACTACCCTTGAAAAACCGATCCGAGCTCGGATCAGTTAACCAAGCCGAGCTCGGTTCTGACGACCGTTTACACATCACGCTATCTCGGTTCCTCGACTCCTCGCCTCCTAGTGATGATCTGCGGTATTACTGCCAGTATTGAAGGAGGAAATCAAGCAGTTGGTGGCGGTAATGCACCAAAAGTTGTTTGCCAACCGCCATAAAACACAAGAAGAAGACGAAGAAGGAGGGAATCAAGCAAATCAAAATGGCGGTGCCCGTCACATTCAGAAAGTTATGCTTGATTATTATTGCTGCACTTCGGTGTTATTGTTTAAAATGCCATTATTTAAAATGTTGCGTGGAGAAGATTTCGATTGTTGTTTATAGTTGAAGAAGAAGTTTTTCTTCTTCTGTTTCTGGAGGGGCATTACCGACAACTACTGGAATGGAGTGTGAATCGCGATGTGCAGCCAGACGGAGATGACCCGTTCTGCTTATGCGCTCCTGTTATCAGAGAACCGAGCCAGGGAAAAAATGAGCCGAGCTCACCTCTGGAACTGGTCTGCAGTTATCTCGGTTTGGTTGTGTCTAGCTCGGTTCAGTTCAGTTTGCTTTCCATTTACACACGATAAGTTATCTCAGTTACTAAGCTCGGACCGGTCTCGGCACGGTTTTTCAAGGGTAGTGTAAATGGGGTATATGGTACCATTATAAGAATTACAGGACATGAAAACAAAAAAAAGATGTTAAATAATTCCCCTTTTCTGTAGCGTCTGAGGACGTGAGGGACGTATACAGAAAAGGTCGGGCCCCTGAAAAAGAACCAGAACAATAAGCTACTGTAAAGAAAATTTAAAGAATGAAGAGCAGTAGTTGCTTTAATTCATTCAAAGGCTTTTTTTTTTATCAAATCAGACTTTGTTCAGACATGAAAGAAAGAAAAAAATCTTGTCCTTTTAAATCTGGGGTACGAGGCCTTTTCTTTATCATTACAGGAACATAATTTTTTTTTTTTTTTTTTTTTAAATAAGCATTGATTGAAGAAACCAGTGTTTCATGTTTTGTTGAAATCCAAACCTCAGTGTGTCTGTAATTATTCATACATGATCATTTTTTACTCTCACCTGCTGAAGGAGTAATGCTGAGGACTTCAACCCCTTGTGGCAGAGCCATCTCTTGGCTGCACAGCATGTGCGTGGTCAGGCTCAGACGGCATGCGCTCTTTAAGTTGGAAGTGCAAGGTTTACTCTTCGGTACTGGAGAGGTGGGCACATCGAAGATGAACTGAGACCCGGTTATAGGAGAAACTGGGTTGATTTCTTTCTCTCCTGTAGGTTCCTCTAAAAGGGGGAAGAAAAAAGCATTAGTCTTGGACTTAGTTGAGTCATACAATCATATTTCCCTGTATCATGGAAACCAACTTATACTTAATTTGGAGGCAAAAAGATTTTAATTGTATGGCACCAATTATATACAAAATGGTTAAAAGTGGTTGATGTGTAAACTAAGGGACAACACCCAAAAAGGTTAAATTCCAAGGTAATAATACAATAAAGAGTTGAAAGTAAACAAAAAGTACCCTCAAAAGGAACTTTACAACAAAGAAATAGCTGAGAACTTAAAATGAACCTCTGATATTTAATCTTTACCGCCTCTATCTCGATGACTCATTAACACTGTGGAGATTTTCTTATTGTGTCATGCTGAGCTGTGTGTTTTCAGCATAGCTACAAATTGTACAGCATATTAAATAAAAGCACACAAATATAGAAAAATATAGAGCTCTGAAGAATACAAATTAGTGACGTTTGGACATAAAGATAATAAAAAGCTAAGTGCTTTATAAGATTAAATCCAATTTGGTAAAGCATCAGACAATTCTATCCACTACAAATTAGTTTGCAAATAAACCCACATTTTAACGGTTTACAAATACAGAATAAATGATCTGATGTGGCCAGCATCCCAGCAAGCAGTTTCGAGGTAATTTTAAAAAAATAAAAATCTAACTTTTATTTTCAATTTTCATAACTTATAATAGAGGAATCTACTCTATAGATTTTTTTAAAAACTGTTTCAATTCATCACATTTTATTGGCCAAAACTGGCCTAAATGAAGGCCTGTCATTCACCTAAAGGTAAAGCAGCTAAAATGCCAATATTGTACTGAGCATAATTCAAACACAGTTTGCCTGTAGAATTACTTTCATTTACAGTCATGAAATCACGGGATTGTCGGGAGACTCATTAAGCTAGAGAAAGAAAACCAAGGAATGAAAAGTGGGGAGTTCAAATATCACCAAAGAAGGAAAACAAAACATCAGATTGTTTTCATATAAAGTCATCTAAATCTTGGCCATATTGGTCAGGACATTCCTTTAAGAGATTAACAATCTGAATGGATTCCTTCCGGTTTAAAAAACAAATAAAACGTTAAAACTATCCATTATGAAAACTTTTTTATGTCACCGAATTAAAATGCAAAGCAATAACAGAACACTTCATCTAAATTCTTCAAACCTTATGATGTAGCACAATGTTACTCAAAGTACTCACCTATAGTGACAGGACAAGCTGCCAGATGTAGATGCCACATATGGAGCAGAGAGCGACCTGTAGGTGTCAATTCCACTACCACCAGAAAAAAATGTCCCGAGAAGGCTGGCTTACTGGAAGCTTCTAGGAGACGAGCACAAAACCAGAAAATAATCAAGAACTTGTACCAATTAAACACATTGCAAATGTCCAAAACAATCAGAAATGTTCTTGCCAATAGAAGGAGAACAGGGAACGTCTTGAATGTCTTCGGTTTTGACACTGCCGAGGATCAGCTCCTCTTCAAAGACGTGCAGAAGCTGGATCTCCTTACCTTGCTGTGGAGAACAGCAGCAGCAAATGTTATCAAGCTAAATCCTATGGACTAGTTTGAAAGGCTTCTTATACGAGTGCAGAAAGCCACACTGGAAGTCTGTGTGCATGTAGTCACACAGGCAAACGTCCAACAGGCTCATGCCTATTGAAACATGCTGCAGCACTAAGGTACATTCAGAATCAGCAACCCCTTATATGTGTCAGATTTTTGTGTGTAAGATGTAACATTGTGTCTCTAATATTAGATATCATGCATACTTACAAAGTCTGTAATGGCATCCAGCTCAATGATACAGCCTGGTTTTGCTGTGGACTGCTGACTGATGATGTTAAACACCTCCCCAACGTATTTCTGAAATAAAACAACTAAAATGAATTTATCAAAATAGTAACCTAAACAGAGTTAAACTGATGGAAATCTAGAACAGGTAAACAAGGAGAGCTGCCAATGTCATATAACAGGCTATGCCACTAGCTAAATAATAAAAGCAATCACATAAACTTGTCTAAAAAACTTTAAGGAAGCTCCAACTCTCTCATTGATGTGTAGCACCGTAACACTCTTGTCAACAAACCTACTAGATGTCCTAATGAGATTTCAGGGAGCTTTTATGAATCAGTTTTTCCTGAATTAAGGAATGTTCTGCCTGTGTATTCAAATTTTTTTTCAACACTGTTACCAACAGAAATAGTTCTTCTTAATTCACCTTAAAATTTCCACTGACATTTATCTCCGTTTTATAATGTTACTGGACCAAGACAGCAAAACCAAAAAAGCAACACTATTTTAGATAACATGGAGGATACAAGTCAAATTATTTCCTTAATAGAGTAAGAGAAAAAAAATCTGCTAAAACAATAAATTTACCATTCTGCTTATTCAAACTTATCTGAACTGCAGATAGTAGTGTTCCAGATTGTGAAGCTCTGTATAAATGATGTAACATTTGCATTAAAATGATACTTTATCTGTGCCATATTTAACCAAAGCACTTTAAGAATACTATACAAATTGTATATCTTGCAAAGTAAGCCTGTAATTGTATATGAATCACAGTTTACGATGATTCTACAAAGAAAAACAAGACCGACATCTATTGCTGTTATTAAATTCATTTAGCAGTAAAAAAAAATAAATGAAATTTTAGATTTTATTTTCTTCTAAAATTTAGACTTTTTGTAGAAAGATAAATTAGATTTTAGAACAATATAATTATCTACTTAGAAAACTTACTGCTGATCCTGAAAAATCTGTGACACCTGTCCCCATATTTAAGGGATGAAACATAAAGAAATCACTTTTAAAGTCAATTTAGTCTTTGAACAGCTTAATGCACCAGCTGTACTCATGTGCAGCTGTTGGTTAAATTCCCCGTTTGTGCTTATCTGCACAGAGGAGTTTGGGTTCATTAGATGGTATGGGAAGGCAAATCTGGACATCAACTGCTTTTTGCCCAGTATCTAAAATAAAATAAAAAAGTTGCATTGCAAATATTCTGCATGTGAGAACGGAACCCACACGGTCGTTACACCTGATATATTCAGAAGGAATACATGTAACATCACACACACCTACTGCTAACTATAGTTTACCCTCCGATTGGATCACTCACAGAAATCTCAGGGTTGGAAAGCTCACTCAGAAGTTTCTTTGCCTCAATAACAGCCTGATAGAGCCTGAGTGACTGGCCGTCACTCGCCACAAAGCAAGCGCTGGGAGAGTTGCAGTAAACACCTGAGAATGGAGAGAAAAAAAGGTTAATGTAGACTTAACTCCATTGGTGAAACTCTTAGAAGGTAATATGCACATTTTAGCAGCAACTGATTTGAAATCTGACCCTTGTAGGTTTAACATCTAACACAATTGCATTTTTAGAAATTATTTATGCAAATTATGGTGAATTCGAGCCAATTGACCTCAAGTGATCATAGCAGATAATTCAGGAAAAACAGAAAACTCTAAATTTCCATCATTAGACTGAACAAACTACCTAAAAAATAAGTTGCTTTCATCATAAATGCTCATTGTAAAGAAACCGTAAAGCCAAATCTCACCTAAACAGCTGCTGGGAATGAGTGTTGGTAGCCAGGCTACATTGGCAAAAGCTGAGGCATGCAGGGAGTTTATCCTAGCAAGCTCTGAGACTCCGCCTGACAAAGACAGCGGCCCCACAGGGTCCACCCTCCACAGAATCAGCTCACTGTAGATGGCATTGGGATCCTGGGAGACCCCTCCGAGGGAGATACAACAGGCGGGTCGTGACCCACGAGATGGCAGATTAGTGGTGTAGGACTCCGGAGGAGCAAGGATGCTGTCAGCCTCTGGCGTCTTCAAGGCGTTGTGGTGTGAAGTGGTGAGGAGAAGAGGGAGCAGGGAGTGACAGGCCAGGTCATTGAGGTGGAAACGGTGACCACAGTAGCGTGATTTGTGAGAGACACTAAGCACTGTGGAGAAAGCAGAGTCCTCTGCAAAACTGACAGCCCACTGGTTCAGAGAGCCGTCATCATGTTTGGAGATCATGAGAACGTTGGGGGTGAAAATGCTCAGTCTGAGGCTGCTGCTGGATGCAGCCTTTCCATGACTCCCATAGTTTATTAGAACAGATCTGGTTCGAGACAATGAGGTCCCAGTCGGCCGCTGTCTGCCGTGTTGAATGGCCAGATCCACATTCTTGTTGCAGGCGTACATAACCACACTGTGGCTCAAGGAGATTGCGTCACCTGTAGGGAAAGCCACAGGAATGCGGGACACAAACGACACCTGGGAGAAAAGAAACAAAACACACACAAGTAACGCAAACTGGAGCAAGAAAAACTTGAAGCTCAATTTAAATTATTAAGAAGGGTTTGAAATCCTTTTCAAGGCTGAAAAAAAAAAGGCAAAAGTTCTTCCGGAGCTAAAGCTACTGTGTCAATACTGAAACCTCAAAGTTAACACGCTGGATCATTAACTTTTATCTCAAAACAAAAAGCAGGAGACATTTTCTCAACTCCTGTCAAGAGGTTTGTGGCAATATAAGATAAAAAAAATAATAATAAATTAAAAAAAAAATCAAGCCGACCCAAAAATAATTAAGACACAAGGGACACTATAGCTGCTGCTTTTGCTTCCTTTCATTTGCTTCATTTATGGGGAAAGAAATCAATCAATTCTTATGGTTAAAAACATGCTCAAAGCATTTTGTTGTTCTTCTCCAAACAGTTTTAATTTCTGGATAATCTTTTGTTGATAAGTCCTTCATTTTTTTGAGATGGTGGGATTTGTCTCTTATAATCTTCCTCATAAGCTGCTTACTTACAAAAGCAGCAGCATCACTGTATAGAGCGTTTTCAGGAGTATCAATTCCACATTAAACATCCCTCCCACAGCCTGTGATGGTAAAGCTTATGCTTTGCTGAATTTTAATGGGACTGCATTGGACAGACCAACACAAAGCCACATAAAACCGAAATACAATTAAAATGATATCCTATCACAGTTTAAAATTAAAATGTTTCTTAATATTCAGCCCCCGATGAGCTAATACCCCCAATACAACTACAATATAAACAATTGCTGAAATATTTCTTAGAAAAAGTGAACAAACGGCAGCATGGAGAACAATGAACTCAGCAGACAATTCAGTAATGAAACAAGTAATTCTTATTCTATCAAAATAGTAAGTTTTATTTTATCATTGTTCTTTCATTGTGGTTAATCATCTCTTTTTGAGGGACTATTTTTACTTTGAATTAACTGAATAAAGACATTTCACTGAAGTTTATTTTGGTTCTAGGTTTACTATGGGAGGATCTGTGATTGAGGACAGCTGAGATTTTTCGTTGTTGTTTACATTAAATACAGCTGGTTTGACATTTTGTACACACAGGGTGTATACAAAACGAACATGTACATGTAATCCAGCAAGCTGAGGTATTGGTAATATCGCCCATAGAGGTAAGAGGTTACAACACACCTTTAACTCTCTCTGTAAACTAGCATCTCAATTTTTTTTTTCCCCCAGTCATCGTTGTATTAAAAATCTTCTCCTTTTGTTCAGATTTGTTTCAGTGGTTTAAGCTGCACAGATAGATGGCATGCGCTTAGGTGACTGATGATAAAGTTGTTTATCGTTTCTCACTGTAAGTAAACAGTGTGCATAAAATGTTCACATTGAATCCAAATTGCCTTAAAAAAGTTGTAAATGATGAAATAGCACAGTGTAAGAAGGAGATTAAACAGATAAAGTTCTGGAAAGAGAAGAGAAATAGGTTCTTATTCAAACAAGTCAACAGCTGCTAGTGGATGAGTTGGGAGAATACTCATCTTGGTGTCTAATGTGTGTTTGAGTCAGGCTTCCTCCAATAAACTGTTGATGCAACCCTGAAAAGGGCAGTAAACTCCAAGTTGCTTACTGATTTGCATATCCTGAGTGTCTGCTTTAGATGTGTGCATATTTGTCAGAGTGTTTTTTTTGGAACGTGCCTCTTTGCTAAAGCACTTTCTGAGAATAGCGCGACTCAAAAACGCAATCTGGTTAAAGCTGAGATTTTTTTTTTGCAAAGACAAGCAGGCATACTAAATGTGTAAAACAGGAAGATGAAACAGTGCAAAAACTGCAGCAAAAGCAGGATATATAAAGTTTTGATCTCAAAGGACTGAATATAAATGACAACCACTTTTTCTGACTTTCAATTATAAGACCAAGTTTTTTTTAGTTCACCATTACTTCATTCTCATAAAATAATAGTAAAATAGCATAGTTTGAGTGCAATAAGGGGTATAGGAATATAAATACATCTGCAAGATGCTGCAAATCTAAAAGTCATTAAAGATAAAATATAAAAAAAAAAAAAGTGTTATTTACCTGGGTTTGCCTGAACATGCCTGGGTGGTATTCATCTAACCAGTCCACATGCCAGACTAACAAAGAGCCATCCAGGGGATGTATACTGAACAGCATGTCTGCCCCTTTATTCCACTCTTCTAACAAAATGTCCACCTGATGCTCCACAGCGGCTACAGGAAGCTCCCCTGGGCCTCCAGAGTCACTTGGCCGATTCTCTTCTTCATCTGAGTTATCTTCATCATAAAGGTCTAAAAAATAAAGCGAATCGTCAGGCTTATTGCTAAGAAATAGAGAAATAATGTTGGGGAATATTTTTCTGAACCTTCATTTGGGGATTCATTCCTTTGTTCAAGGCTTCCTCCAAGCTGCTGCAGAAAGACTTCCATGGCTAAAGTGAAGTGAAGCTCCTTATTGTTAAGCCAGTGGACCGTAAACAGACCGCCGGGTTCCTCATCATCTACTGCACTCAGAGCAGAGATGGAAGGTAGCAAAGGAATGTCTAAGGAAAAAAAAAGACAAAGAAAAAATAAACTGTTACATTTAACATTAGAAAAACACTAAATCTGTCAGAACAAATAACTTTAAATAGATGCTAATATGGCTTGTAGTATTCTATAGTGTAACCGTTCAAGCATGCAAATAAACTCTTACAGCATTTTCAGCCTTAAGCCAGAAGCAATCTAAAAGAGTTTGAGCAAAATTAACTTGTCCCACAAACAAAAGACAAAAAAAAACAAAAAACCTTCTAAACAGGAAGTGAACAAAACGCTCACAGCTACTATGAGCAGCCCTAAGCACAAAAGCTCACTGAGATGGTAAATAAATAGCCAGAAGCAAAAACAGAAAACTTTATTATGCAGTAATCACTGCATGGATGTCACATCTGACTTATTGGGCTGTACTTTCACAGCCAGAACCTGGTAAATGAGTAATTTCATAACGCATCCTTATAAATAACATCCAGCTCAACTGTTTGAGAATTCAAATAGAAAAATAATAAATTCAAATACTATAAAGGGGAGGTCTTCAACAGGGGGTCAGTGACCCCTAGGGGGTCCACAGAGGTACTGCATGGGGGTCATAAAAGTTTTGGTTTATAAGATTTTTTTTTTTTCATATTCCTCCCTGCAATTTTATCCACCATTTAAAATGTCTTTAAATACAGAGCAATTTCAAACTGGGCACCATTTCATTCACAACACATGTCCCATCAACAAGGAATCAGAAACACTTTAATAATCCACAATACTTTTGTTACATTACTCAATATGTAATAAAGTGACTATAGGTTCAGTTTGATATAACAAGATTTCATACAATATATATAATTAAGGGGTCCCCACCCTATTGAAGACCCCTGCTATAAAGCTTCATTACACACAGGCTGATATTTTTCAAATACTTCTTTACATTTTTATTAACAATAAAAAAAAAAACTGAGTTGTGACGATAAACCTTATTTATTATAAAGCAAATCACAAAGCAAATCCTACTACATGATTTCCTGGATTTTCTTTTTTTCTCTCTCATAGCTAAAGTGTACTTAAAATGAAAACTACGGACCTCTCACTTTTTTAACTAGGAGAACCTGCACAATCAGAGGTTGACTAAAACTTTTTTTCTTCTGCTGTAGCCAAAAGAAATCCCATTTAAACATTTAAAAATCTTCATCTTATGTAGGTGAAAATTTTAGCGAAAAAATTTATTTTGGATTTAGTTTAATAGCTGCAAGATATAAACATGAAAATGAACACATCATCAAGTGCTTAACTTTGGGAATCGGATAGTGTTAAAGTTAAAACATAGCTCCAACTACAGGTCTCACTCAAAAAGAGAAAGTATGTACGTGTTAGCTTCACACCTGTGGCCGGGTTAATGCTGGCTGCAATGTGGAAGTGGCAGAGAGCATTGGCGTGAGGAGCTCCACTGTTGCTGCTCCTCCTGTGGTTATGGTGTCGGTTCAGATGGTGAGACGTGCAGCCAGTCAAAGACGGTTGAGGAATATCCCGGTAAGAAGACGAATGCCACGATTCTTGGAAACTGAACTGCAAGGGACACATTCAACAGTAAAGCTTATTGGTTGAACATTTTGTACTACTTTAAAAATCAGTTGAACTTATCTGCAGATATAGTGTCTAAAGTTTTCTTTAAAGTGTTTTTATTATTTAAACATGTTCTGAATTTCAAAGTGATTTGAAAATCAATCCTTTGATTTAATCAATATATTCATTTAACCTTTCAAGTTATCATGTCATATTCTCCTATTTCCACCAAAGAAAAAATATTGAAGAACAGTTTAATACAATATATTAACTAACTTTGTGGAGGAAACCATAAAGTGAGGTTTCCAAATAAATATTCTAAACTTTGTTCATTCCATTTATGAAACAGAAATAAATATATTTTATTCATCTTAAAGTTTAATGTAAATTTGTTTGAGGCTATCCTTTAATAGACGTCATTTTCATCCCAGCTTTAATCTTCGTCTCATCTACCTGACTTGATAATAGTTTGACAGTTTCTGCACTTTTGAAGGCATAATATTATCCAGCTTGCATCACCAGGCATGGTAAGTCTTATAATGAATAATTCCACACAGGCTCTCTTTCAGACCGTCCTCAAGGCAAAGAGAAGAAAAAAAAATCTGCTAGCTCCCTTTTTCTGTAATTAAATGTAGTCTGGGCTCCATAAGATCTTGTGAACACTGTAACTGCATTAAATATCTAAGATGAAATGGATTTTAGTTTGTATTGGGAATTACAGCGTTAGGCTGTCAGCTACAATCTGCTTCAAAATATAACAGGAGAAGAACAAAGGATAACTGGCTGAAGTAATGACAAAGCAACCACAATGAAGCCACACATTCTCTTTTTTGCTTGTAAAATTTTGCAGCTTCCTTGTTTCATTGCAGTACTACCTTTTTTATTTCATCTATAAAGTTAAGTATTTCCCCCCACAAAGTCAAATCAATTCTAGCTATATTGTGACCCTTTGTTTTGTGTAACCATTGCTGGTATTCAGAGCTACACACCTCTTGTGATGACATTCCAGCTGTATTCCCATTGCATGGGTGTTTTGAAGAGGGGGCAGCAGATCTGACCGTCTCCCCATCAGGAGTAGAAAGATGGCTGCTATGGTAACCAGAGATGAGGCTGTCACCTGGCAACAGAGTCTCTGCCCACAGCCGGCAAACACTGTCCTTACAACAGGTGAGCAGAACATTACAGACGGCCCCTCTGAAAGGAAAAAGGAGAAACAAAGAAAGATAACAGCAGAGAAAAAAAGAAAGATGACAAAAAGGAACTACTGAAGAGCTCTGCAGAACTGCCATTTATAGTAATGGCACAACTAGGTTAAAACAAGAGAGTTTTGCTGCACATGTTCCAATAGACAAAAGCAGGTTTAAGTATCTGCAATCAGGTAATAATTATGTCTCGTAAATAATTGTAATAATATTGAGGTCTATCCTCTGTTATTTTTGTTATCCTAAAGTGGCCTAATGCATTTTCTGGTCTGTTCTTCTTCTTTTTTTTTTTTTTTTTTTTTTTTTTTTTTTTTTAACTCTGGCTGTTTTTACCCAAATATATTGTGCAGTTTGGCTATTTTTAGTTTGTTTTGCTGCTTAACTTGGACTCAATGAATCATTCAGGCATAAAGTCAATTATCTTACAATCTGATGCTTTATCCTCCAACTAAATATCTTCTTAACAATAAGCAAATATTTAAGACCTATGAAAGAACCCATCCGAGTTAGAAGCTAAGTCACATTGATAGCATGGACTTAATTTAATATACTAAACTTTTTTTTAAACAGATATGTTTTCTTCCTCTCAAGCCCATAAGGTCTATACTTTCCTAAGAAAAGAAAAATTACTTCAAGTTGACTCTACAAGCCTTTATGTTTTAAGAAATTGAAGTAAAACTAAATGTGTTCATTGAAAAAGCCTGATATCATGATGAATGGATGCTAAAGAACAAGCAAAAAGATACACTACAGTAAAGATAGCAATGACTTTTCCCAAGAGACAGGCTAGGAGCATTTAAGTAGATGGTAGTTTTGCTACAGTATCTGTCTGGAAATATTGGAATCCGCATGAATAAAACATTTATTTTTTTCCCAGTTCTGTTCATTCATATTTGCTTTGCTGTAGAAAACTTAAGGAACATTACAGTTATCTTTCTAGACAATACTTTTCTATAATTCTATGAAAAGCATGCTTAGAAATTCTGCATTTATGGAAATAGTTTTCATATTATGATTGATCTTTGCAATTTAATACAAGTTGTTTTTCTAAACTCTTGACTTATAGTAGTGGGCTATAACATGCAGTTGCCTCTTATGGTTCTGAGCATTAAGAAAAAAAAATCCAGATCTCTTCAAATCTAGTTTCTAGTAACTAAATCTAATTCATTAATAGCACCTAAATTTAGCAGATTTAATCAATTCCAAACACTTTACAAGAATTTCTAATTATTATATCTTTGACTCTCTACACTGTCAATGTAGTGATTTAAAAGCAGATTACACTTCTAGTTCATCTTATCAAAAAAGGTTCAACCAACAGGTCACTAAAAATAGATGTAATAGATGCAGTTAGATTACCTTAGCTTTTCTTATTCACATGTACAGTTAACATGGAGCTACTGTATATTAGATAATGGGAATCTCCCAGAGCAGCAAATGAAGGGCTGTAAAAATGAAAGCATGTTAGCATTCATACCGTGGCATGTACTTGCTGGTCTTCCTCCAGGAAAAACCAGTAACGGAGCGAGGATGGGCCAAGTAGATGAAGGAAAAGCCCAGCTCTCCCTGAACACTCATACTAGGGTCTGGTGGAGTAAACAGCTGTGCAACACATGACTTCCACTTGTTTGTGCTGTACCACACCTTCACCAGACAGTCATCCTGAAAAGAGATACATTCACCAATCTAAACAACGCAGAGCAGTTTTGCTATCAAAGTTTTAAACTAAAGGATTTCACTGTAATATTGGTGCCTTTATAAGCATACACTTACCTGTCCAGCAGTAGCAAAGAACTGCCCATCAGGTGAGAACTTAATTAGGCTGACTGGAGATGCAGTCCTTATGAAAGAAAAACAGCATATTACAGGAATTTGAAGATAATTAACCACAAATTGGTGCTTAATGTTTATTTTATTATTTAAGCTGGTTTATTATTCAATGCTGTAATAGGACAAATATCATAAATTAGGAGTGTATAAAATATCAAGTAATTGTAAGGTAACAAAATTATTTCACTCCTTTCTTACTTGCTCTGCCAGATACACCTCCAGCCAGAATCAGAGTGTCGTTCTGTGGCTCTTGTTGGTTTTCCCCTTCCTTCACCGTCATCTTTCCCATCAGCATTGGACCACAGCTGAAGGCTGCCAGAGCCGGTTAACAGAGTACCATCTGAACACAACAAATATATTCTCTGTTTCAGGATCCTTAACATCCAGTCATAAACTAAACATATGTTTATGTAAGCAGCAAAATAAGTTAACAGCTACACCTCAAACAATATATGATTCTAATCAGTCAGATAGTGAAACTCAGATTCATTACATATATAATATATATTTCAAGCATTTATATTTTTTTAATTGGATAAATATGGCATTATAGGACCCATATTCATAGAAATGTTGAATATCAAATGAGTTTTAAAGCAGAAATAAGACTGCAGGCTCAGGTTATGCCTCACACAATAGTGGGACAGACTGCTGACTTGACCATTTCATCTACAGACAGACTCTGACTCCATCCACAAACAGCACAGGTCACAGAGGTCATTTGTAAAAAGATAACTGTTCAAACCAAGGACAGAGTTTTCCTATAAAATCTGTCATGCAAAATGGCCACCATGAAATAACGAGCACTACGGTGAAGTCTCTACTGTCACAGTGACATAACTAGGGTTTAAAACAATTAATCTGATGAATCTATTATTGAAATTATGGTCAACTAATTTAGTATTAATCGTTAACTAGAGTATAGAGACTCTAAAACATGCCTTTAGCTGACAGAGTTACCCACTTAGAGCAGTAAGTATATCAAAATTGTAACAATACACAAACATTTAACATTTAAGATTAACTCAAGTGGAAAAGCTTTAGTTTAACCTGGTTTAACTTTGTAAAAAGTGTTCTTTAAGGAATCTTTGGCTATTTTATTATTGATTAATTGAAAAAATAATGAACAGTTTAATCAATTTGCCAAATAATTGTTATTGCAGCAAAAGACATAACCATGGTTTGTTCCCTACTGCCATCTCTTTCACCAAATATTTTTTTTTTGTCCTCTTTCTATAGAGTCTGCCTGTTGTTCATTATTTTATATCAGTGCTCACAGGCTTGAACTGTATTTTTTTGTTTTACTCATTAAAATGACAAAGAATCTGAATCATTTCGGGTCCTCAGGCTCAACGGATTCCTAAATGGAAAATGTTTTGGAAAAAAAGTTCCTAGCAAAGAAGGCAGTGAAATAAAGCCCATTGAAGCGCTTGCTGTGGAAATCCAAGACATGGGATACAGCTGGCATATTCCCATTTTAAGAACTGTGATTCCTGAACCAAAGACAATGTCCGTATTTTACTTAGGCTAAGGAGAAAGATCACAGGACTATTGATGAAAGTAAAAGCTTCTTTGCTTCAAGTTTAACAGGAAGTCATAACTGTAAGGGCTGATTAAAGGGTAATTTCATCAGCTGCTGCAGAGTTTTGTTTTTTTAAACCCAAAGTTACAGAGGCAGTCTATAAAAAAGTTTAGAGTTCTTCATGCTTCCTTCTGCTGACATTATGGAGATGATAATTTCATGTTCCAGCTGAAAAAAGCATTACCTGTTTAGATTAGATATTTCTTAATTTTTGGTCTGATATGTTTCATTCTCAGAAGCTGATTTTGTTTTCCCTTTTTTAAATGTAAGCAACAATAATCAAATTAACACAAAATGCCTGTGTAATATTTCTGTAGTTGTCTATACGTCACCTCTACCTATTAGATTGATATACTGAATTTATGATATTCCAGTGTATTGAAATAAGCTCTTTTTTTTCTAGAGCAGTTCCAGTTCTTTAATGTGAATGTTTAACATAATGAGGAGAGTGTGTGAAAGTACCTGTGGGGTGCCAAGCCAAGTTTCGTACCATTGACTCTAAAACAAACTGCCCAGTCTTCTGCCACTGACAGCTTAGTTTCTGTAACAAGAGAATTATAAAAAAAGATAAATAAAATAAATCAATCCCATTTCAGTCAAGAAGCAACTACCGTTTTTTCAGCTATTTCAGAAATGCCACAAGTTGAACAAAAACTAACAGATGTAAGTCATAAGAGTCACATGTGATCAAGCCACACAGATGGTGAGATAAAACTAGGGAACATCTGCAGAGGGACGGACGTGTGCGGCATTATTTTACTTCTTCACACTTTTTAATGGTAACTCTGATATTTTTTTCTTTAGAAAACTGACAGCTACGCACTACCCAGCTGAAAAAAGATACCTACACATAATTATAACACAAGCAATGGTATAGAGAACACTGTAGACCACTTACAGTTGATGAAGTATACTTTTGATCTTGGTGCTGAATTGGCTCAAAGACACAAACGATGCTTCCATAGGAAGCTGCAATCTGTCAGAAAAAGAGGATTAAGGACTTAAGCAACAATTTAAAAATTAAAATATATGAGCTAGTTGCACATGATCTTGACTGACTGGAAGTACTGTAGCCTTAGGTTTCGTGTGTGTGTGCATTTTTAAAAATGGATTTGAGAGGGCAGGGTACTGGGGTAAAGCAGGTGACCCATTCAGAGGGCCATAGTCCCCTGCAGGGCCATCACAGGTTCAAATCAAGGCCTGTTGACCTTTTTCCGATTTTCTTTCCACTTCTATTTCAAACCCATTTCCTGTCTACCTACTTTCAAAGAAAGGCCACAAAAACAACAAAAAAATAAAAAGTTCAGACCTAATAAGCTTTCTCATCATCATATAAATGCCTAATAGGGTCAGAAAAACTGAAAGCAGGTTAGCTGTATTAAAAACAAAAACACAAAGGCTGAAATATTCTGTCTATAGCTCCAATCTTTAGATTAAATACAAAGCTAAATACACAGATAACTTTAAACTGAGTAAATACCTGAAATATTAGATGCAAGTCATAAAGTCAGGAGTAAAGGGAGAAAAAAAAAAAAATCACATGCATGTTTATGTATGTTAGGAAGAAAAGTCTACAAGCGGTCACATGCCAAAGCTTGGTCACACAGATATCCTTCCAGTCAGGCAGGATTGGACAGAGAAGTATACAAACTCTGTTTAAAGTAATAGGTTTAGATTCGAATTCAAGACATATAAATAAAATTCTGTGTTTTTATGTTAGGCCTAAAAGAACTTTATAGAATATATCACCTATTTTTAGTTTAGATATGAAACAGCAGTATGCTGCTAAACTAACAGAAACAGACGATAAAAAGGTTCTGAGTTGACAGCATAGCTGGAACTCTACATCCCCACATTTTAACTGCTTCTAAGTAGATTTATTTTCACAGCTTCGCAACATTGCTTTCATATTATTCCACTGATTAAGAAAAAAATAGGAGCTATTTAGAAGCAAATAGGAAGGCCTTAAAATGCAAAGGTTCTCTTCAACTATAACAAATAATAAGAAAATAATTTGACGACAAATCAGTGACACCTAAACGTTCCCTAATAAGGGCACCGCTGATAACTAGCGAGTACATTTGGTGTAGTACTGCAGATATGCACAGTAGCAAGAAAGGCTGAATGACAATCCTGCCAACTTTCCACATTCCTAAACAGATCCACTCTGGAGGCAAGGGTGGATACTTTTGACCCAAAAGAATTGGATTAAACATCACGAGCACAGCAGCAAAAGCATGAGCCAACAGTTTTTATTCATTTGAAATCCCATCACGCTGGTCTGCTGTTTAATCTGCCCTCCACAATTAAAACACAACTGATGAGGCATTACTTAATTTCTTCTGTTCAATCTCTGATTTGCCCTTTAGAGTGACAACACCTAATCACTCAATAAATGGAACAGAGATTTGACTGTATGTACCAAGAATTAAGGAAGGGCTGCTTTGTCATGCTTTCAAGAAATGCAAGGGATTACTATTCTATGTTCTTGTACCCAAACCAAACAAAGAGTCTATATTTAGTAAAAGAGGACAGTAGAAGGTTACATGCATAAATGGAGAGAAATTCAGCACCAGAGCAACAAATAGTATTTTCAGTTATCTTTGAAGTGAGTCTGTTGTTAAAGATAATCTCAACAAATTTGAATATTTAAAAAGAACAACTTGTTCCGCCCTTAATTGGCAATAAAAAAAAAAAAATCAATTTAAAATGTGAATATTTAGCATGGATTTATAGACTGAAATATTTGATGGACAGTTTATAGCTAAAGCAAACCAAATACATTATGTCTCATAAAAATCAAATAGAAAAGCAGCTAAGCTGCTCAGGTCATTTCTACCAAGGTGTTCACTTTGATGTAAAGCAGAGTGGAGGGAAAAACTGTTAGAACAGCTTTAAGATGATTTTGAAATCTAATCACAACTTTGGCAGTTCTCATTTTTAGTCATTTCTAAACTAAGCTGAGGAGTGTTTAAGAGGAAATAAATAGTTATCCCAATTACTCCTTTGAGATAAAGTACATTTTTTATTCTATTAGGAAATCAAGATCCCAGACTCTGGAGGAATCGAGAAGAACTGAACCTCTTAACGGGGTCATAGAATGATTATATCAGGTATTTGGTGCTGGTCCTTAAGGTCTCTGAATAGGGTGTGTAACATTGGTTGGGCTGAAAATGGCATATTTGCTGTTGTATGAGCACTAATGTAAGCATGGTTATAAGCCCTAGAATGAAACAGGTTTTCTTCTTTTCATGGTATGCTAATGAATATTTAGATGAGCTGTGCGCTGATTGGTTTGTTCAAAACGAGAGAAGCTGCTGAACAAAGATGCATCATAGCAACAATTTCAAAATCTTCTGGGATTTTGGTCAACACGCCGGGCACTCGAACCGAGCCGCCAGCTCCGGGACTGGTCCGGGAACCCCGGCGGTAGGGGGCAGGGAGCCAGCTGGGACGGAGCGAACGAACGCGATCCTGTGACTGGAACCTGGACACAGGCGGCCCAGTGTTTCCCCCCGCCTGCCTTACCGGCCACCAGCCCATCTCTTCTGGCTGAGGACGGGCGGCTCATGGCTCTCTGCTGAGTTCCGGTATTCCAAACAGAATATTACTTACAGCTTGTGGTTGTGATGGCCTTACGGTCGGAACAGCCCCTCGTTTCAGTAAAAGAAGTTTAGCAAATCCTGCATTGAACTGTCCAAGATTTTGAAAGCTTTCTTTGGTAAAATGCTTTGAGCAAACAGCTGAGCATCAAACTTTGCAGGGATCTTCTGATAGACAAAAATAATCCATGCCTATCGAGTTTTCGGATCCTTGGGAAGATTGTAAAAAATGTCCCCTTTCTCCGCACAGTCTGGAACACTGTATTTTGCCCTTGGCCCTAGCTCATTTTCAATAGAGAAACTGCCTGCTTTATAATTCTTGTAGAAGTAAACCCAACTGTAGGATAAACAGCTAAACTGGTGTCTTACATCTACCTCTATTCATGTTCTTGGGTCAGTGAACCAGTGGGCTGGTCTGTATGTCAATTTCAAGGTGTGACAAAATACAGGCCAGAACCAAATAAGGTAACATCCCTAATTTAACGTCAATTTGGGGCTTCGTTTGTTTTCGCCCGTTTTATGGTGGAAGTTTAGAATTGTGAGATTTGCAGAGAAAGAAGGTGTCAATGGGGTTTGAACTTCTTTGTACGTCCATTTCACCCACTGAACAACTGTTATTCAACTCTGTTTACATTGTCATAGATCTTTAAGGCCATAACCCCGGTCCCAGGGGAGGATTTTAACCGTTTTATTTTTTAAGTTCATTACTCTTTCCCTTTGTGTAGCATGGACATATGTAGAACTCAGAAAGCTTACCAAAATGTGACAATTAACATGTCTGCAGAGGGCAGGAATCTCATAGATTTCAAGACTATAAGTTCTACCACAATCCACACAGTATTCACTAAACCAGCAGTAAAAGAAAACCTCAGGTTATCAACAACAGGATGAAAAAAAACAAACAAACACATCTTTCCAATGGTAGTAACTGCTTCACCAGTGTTTCCCTTGCAGAGCATCTCATTGAGAAGCTTCTAACTGTTGTGGGAATTTTACGACAGAGTAAGTCAGACCTTCCTCCAGTCATAAAGGCTTCTGAGTCCAGAGAGGCTCCAGGGCACTGAATTTGTGCTCATTGGCAGCATGACTATGATCATCCATGTCAGAGAAAAAGGGAAAGAGTGTTTGGCTTCTTAGCACAATTTACCACAGCAAAATGGTGGATGAAAATATATATACATTTTATTGGGTTATTTTTTTATCTCACTTATAGAAGAGTGTAGGTATTGTTAGGCTGTGCATCTAAGGTTAATTAAACCACCCTTTGATGTTGCCAACAGAAGAGTTTATAGCCAACACACACCGCCAACAATCAAAAAATGTCATAATGTACAATTGGCCTCTAATCATATCCTTTGCCTTCAGACATTTGAACCAAACTGTTCGGGAAGTTATCTCTATCTCTCTATCTAAAAAAACTTTCATAAAAAATACTATTAATTTTATATATATTAGAAAAATAAGCAAATGCTTTTTGTTTTTTTTACATTTGTTTTTTGTCTTTGTGGAAAGAAAGCTGCAAATATTTGATGTGCTATGAAGATTTTTTTTTTTACTTTTTTTTCCAACCTAATTTTTATTAAAGAGGCCTACTTTAGAACTGATTAAAATTATTTGAACTTCCTATCAGATGGAGAAAGCCTGTATATATATCTGAGAGAACAGAGACCATGCTTTATCGACATGAATTCTTACCTGTCCATCTCGCTGTGAGCAGTTGACACAACCGACCTGGATATTTCCATGTTTGGCTCCAGGGATGATCTGCAGCCGCTCAAAATTACTCCCTAAAATCACCACGTCACAACCTGACGCATAGGCCTAACAGAAGATACAGAGAGATAAAAAAAAAAGGACAGAGATATAAGCATTGCGCTCAGATACAGCCATGAAGGTTCAGTTGACCTACATTTTTAGCTGGAGATGGGACAAATTTACTCATCAGATTCATTTCAGCTATGTCTGTATTTATCTTAAAAAGGGGATCCTCACATGAGCTGTGATTCACAGTGAGTGAGCTTTACTTAGAGAAAGATCTTACCCTGCAGTGGTTGTCTTATAAATGAAACATTGGGGGTAGTGGCAAGGGTCATTATCTTGCAATATGTAAAACTCATCATCAAGCAAAACAAGACTATAGCCAATCTAAGAGCGTTTTCTAGGAGCTAAAACCAAAACAATTCCATAAATATTATGGTTATTTTATTTTTTCTCCCCCTCATTTCATAAATACATTTGGCTTTCAAATTAAGAGGTTTGACCACCTCTTTAAGAACCAGAGCATCTAAAAATGCTGAAAGGGAAATATTTTTACAGCTTGAAATATCTTACCGTGAAAGGCACATTGTTAACACTCCCGACAGAGAAGCAATTGTCCCCAGGGTTGACAGCCCCGGTAAGGACTTGATGGAGATTCATGGCTGATGCTGATGGCCTTTCCCCCACCCTAGCTTCACAAAACAATCCCACTCCAGGTGAGATTCATGGAAAACCATGAGATGGATCCGCTCATCCTTGCCTGTGGCCTGTAAACTCTGCCAACTTGCTGCAAAGACAAGAAAAGACAGAATAAATGCTTTTGATAAGAATCCGGTTTACATCTAAATAAAAAAAAACCTTCCCTCGTCACGGTCAGGTAAGCAGAACACACACAAAAATAAATAAATAAATAAATAAATTGAAAAACACGAAGGCTCACAGGATTTATTCTGACAGGAAAAAAATCAGGTTATAGTTCAGCAGCTTGTAGCAAATCAAAAGAAGAGTGCATGAAAAGAGGCAAACTTTCAAGCAATCACACAGCTAAGTAGAGCATCAAAGCAAGGCAGTCAGAGGTTATGATTAAGGGCTCTTTTCCTTAAACCATGAAGTCAGCTTGATTAGTGGGAAACTGCCAAGCATTATATAATGCTGATAGACAGAAACTAGAGGGGTGAAACTAAAGGTGAGCTTTCACAGAGCTTCAAATGTGATTGAGCAAGGTGATAATGTGCTAGCTGGACAGATACATTACACACAGAAAGAAACATGCTAGTAGTCTTCAAAAAGAGTTTCTGTACAAACAGTGCTTTCTAAAGCGCTTAGGAACATGAACCTTCTTTTTAACAATTGTGGGACATTGCATAACTACTTTCTGCTGCAATTGCACATCCTTTGTCTCCCAAAAGCTTTGATATTAAAGAAAATAACATTTTAACATTTACTTCTAGGGAAAACAGCTAAAGCTCAGAAGCATTGGATGAGTTTCTGCATAACAAGCTTGCATTCAGCCTTACCACAAATTTTTAATTGGATTTAGGTTTGGACTTTGACCTGGTCATTATACAGGCAAACATACTTTGATCTAAATAGGAATGAGAAATCACTGTAGGGCTAGTTGTAAATTCTGAGGGTTATTGTCCAGATAGAATATGAACTTCCTGCAATATTTAAATTCTATTGCCATCTCTGGTTTTTGCAAATGACTGTTATGTATTTAGATTGATCAATTTTCTAACTAACAAGCTTCCATGGAGGAAGCATCACCATAGCATGATGCTGACCCCACTTCCGCAATCTTAGCAAGAACCTGCACCCTCAAATGCAACAAGTTTTTTTTGTGTGCGTTTTCAGGGTAATGTGCAGTGCATTTTTATTACTCGGTGGTTAAACACAAATTAACTTAGTAGTTACTTATGCTTCTTCTGAAGGAAGTTGGGATTTCTCCTCTCTGACCTTTCAATGAGTAAAAACCTTTTGAAAACCAAATATAATTCCTTTCCACTTCCCAATTCGGTGCGTCCATCATGAAATCTTTATAAAATACAGTGATGCTTTTACTCTGAAAATGTTGATGGTGCATGAACAGAGGTGTCAAGTAACAGTGTACAAATACTTTGTTACTGTACTTAAGTACACTTTTTAGTTATCTATACTTTACTCCATTACTTATATTTCTTCCTACTTCTGACTTCTACTCCTTATATTTTCACACAAGTATTCGCACTTTATATCCTTTAAATTTTTTAAACAAACGTTACTCGTTACTCTTGGCTTCAGTTTAATGTTTGTAAATATTTATTTCACGTCATGTGCGCCATCCAAAGCAGATCATTGGCGCCATCCACATCTAGTGAAAACTAGTGTAATTGGATGAGTCAGAGAACGCAAACACTCTTTGGTTTGCTAAAGGAAATCATCAGAAGCAAGCAGGTGTTCTTCAGACTGCAAACATGAATTGTCTATTCCATGCTACAATGTCAGATTCAGAAAATAAAGCTGAAATGTCTGAAAGACCTTTCTCATTCTAGGCCCTATCTCAAAGAATTTTTCCAAATAGTTGAAAAATTGAGTTTTCAATTCATATATTGGCATCTGGCTGTTTTTTTTTTTTTAAGGTTACTTTTTTAAGCCAGCCTTTAAAGCTGCAGTCTGTAACATTGAGGAGAGAGCAGACTTCGACTGAAAATTTGAAGAAAAACAGGTTTCACGCCACTCCCCCACCCTCATGCCCTACCTTCAAGCTCCACCCCTCTCACAGCATCTGCGGGGCTACCGCATGCGACCAGAAGGAGGGGGTGGGGGGTGGGGGGGGTGGGGGGGGGGGGGCGGGATTCAGCGTGTGTGAGCTGTGATTGACACTCCATCAGACGCTCCTCTGCTGTGATTGGTTGTTTTGACTCGTCCCGAATTATTCTTTCCAGAGTGAAATACAGGCAGTAGGCGGTACCAATTGAAGCAGTTTTTTTCACAGGTTACATATCACATGTACTGCTGTCTGAGCATAGGGACAGTTTTAGCCAATATGACAAAAAAGTGATTTTTAAAAACTTACAGACTTCAGCTTTAAGTAGTTTCTGGAGCACATACTTTTTTCACTTTTACTTGAGTAAAGAGGTGAAATTGATACTTCAACTTTTACCAGAATGTTTTTAAACTGCAGTATATATACTTCTACTTAAGTAACAAATGTGTGTACTTTTGACACCACTGTGCATGAATACCTTTGAAAGGCACCGTTTGATAAATCTAGACAAATGTATTAAACGTGTTTGTTCTATAATAAGCTTGACATTTAAACATGTGTTTTAAGTGCTCAGTCAGCATAAGGTGGCAGCTGATTGATTAAATTACTAAATCGAATATAGGCCATTTTAACAGATGAGGATGAAGTAATACAAGCTGATAAATGACCTCCATAATGAACATACTGCAGAGATAAGGAATGAAACAAATCCAATAGGAGGGGACAAAACATTCAAAAAAAACAAACTTAAGAAAGCCACATTAGCTCAAGAGGACGCATCCCTATCTCACAACTTTTCATCAAACTCGATTTATCTCTGGGTGAATATTTGTTGTCTTTCATACATCCTGATCCTATGGAAGAGGATTAGGGCCAATGAAATTTTTTTAAAAGTTAAATTATTTTTGAATTTTATATCAGTATAATATGACAAAAAAAGTCAGAATTGTGACTTTAATCTCAGAATTCTAACTAACAAACATGTTAGCATTAAGCCGTAGCCATGTCTGTTTTAGAGACTAAACTAGGTCTTATGTTTTATTCACCTTCTGCTCTTCCATTAATGAAATAGGATCACTGGGGACTCCTCGGGCGTAAAAAGTCGCCTAATTCCTTCATTTTCCACCAATGTGTTAGTGGCCCTCCCAAACAGCTTACATCTTTGTCAGTGAAGCTGAGTGCTCCCACATCTCTTTCTTCATGGTGCCCATCTACATTAAGATCCAAGATTCTGAGATTCAAGTCTGAATTCTGAGATTTAAAGCCAAAATTCTGAGAAAAAAAGTCAGAATCCTGAGATTAAAGTCAGAATTTTGAGGGGAAAAAAGTCAGTATTCTGAGATCAATTTTTTGAAGCTGAGTGCTCCCACATCTCTTCCTTCATGGTGCCCATCTACATTAAGATCCAAAATTCTGAGATCAAGTCAGAATTCTTAGATTAAAGTCAGAATTCTGAGATTACAGTAAAAATTTTGAGATTAAAGTCAGAATTCTGACATTAAAGTCAGAATTCTGACTTGACCCATATTAAACTGAAATAATATTTAAAAATCAGTTTACTTTTTTTTTCTCAGTGGCCCTAATCTTCTTCCGTATGACCCATATTCCACGAGTTCAGGAATAATTTCAACTCTTACTAGCAGGCATTAAGGTCACAGTACAAAACAATGATTACTAATGTATTGCTCACGCAGACTGCGTGTGAATATTTGGTGGTAAGTAGTGATAATAGAGAGAGTTAACTAATAGAAGCTTCCTGTGTTGTCCCATCTCACGTGATAACGTTTCACAAGCTAACCCATTAAACCTATCGTTTGACGCCATACGTGACAATGTCACCATTCTCCCAATAAAATGCAACATTAAGTACAAATCTTTCCCCGTTTTAACAGCAAACATGCACTCATTATATTCATGTTTCTATTTGCACTCAGGTGTAACAGGACGTTAAGTTAGCTGTCAACTTTAGCTCGTTGCCAGCTGTTTTTTAGACCCAAACGTATATCAAAAACGCTTCCTACCTTTTGTCGTTATTCTGTGTCATAACCACACAGATATGAAGTCAAAATTTGATCCTGTCAGCGGCAGTTTGCGGCGAATGTGGCACCCCGACTTTACGGGTCTTCTTGGTTAGCTGCGCTAGCTGCAACTAGCTCGTAAAGCCCTCTCTAACAGCGAGCTCGCGAGTGTCAAAGGTAGCTGTAGACAACTTATGGCAAACATTAATTGGTGGATATTATCTGCCGGGTGAGACCAGGTAAAGTTTACTTCTCAAACTGAGACAAATTCATTCACCCCTACTCCAAGGTTAACAAATAAAACGCTCATACAGAGAGGAAGGTTTTCCTTATGTTGAAGATGTGTCATGATAACGACTGGGTCGCCGCAAAGGATCATGGGGCTTGTAGTTGAGCAAGAAAAAAGCGGTCTCATGACATACTGAAGGGAAAACTCAGAGGCGGACTTAGCCATATTGAGGCCCCAGGGCATGGGTAACCAATTAAAAATCAGGGGGTCTGAATAAAGAAAATCATCAACCAGTAAAGATCCGGAGACATTTTTAATTATAATCTGTTAATTTAACAGAAATTAACACTGAAATAAAATGAGTTTTTTATGCATCCATGCTATACATTGCATTTTTATATAAAAAAAATATAAATTAAAAAAAAAAGAAAATTTTTCCATTTTTATATGAGTGCTTTTTTAAGTAGAGAACTACAATCGTTCAGTTTGGTATATAGACAATTTCCTGATTCACATATTTTATAAAACACCTGAACTGGCTGTTTATTATTTTCTTTCTTTCTTTTGTATGGCTTAATGAGAGAAGTGGGTTTTAGGCTGCCCTGCAAGGCTTTAAACCTGGGTTTGAATGGCAACAAAGCCATTGGGGGGGTTCTTTTTTTCTTCCTTCTAGTGCATATTTGCACCATATATATTTGTCTTGCAATGCACTGGACTTCCATATCAATGCGTTTTGCACCATGTTTTTTCTCCTACACTGTTTACATTTGATCACTGC